GTACATTTATACTAAACCATGAATAACAATACCTCAATATAAATTAAAGACTGCTACTCAATATTATTAAATATATGAAAAAATCAAAAAATTGAAAAAATAAAAAAATCATGATTTTTTTATAAAAAAATCAAGTGATTTAATCGCATGATTTAATCATTTTGATTTAATCATTGCCAACCCTGAGCTAGGGCCAAGCGCCTAGCCATTCCTAGCAATAGGTTACAACTGGAAAGTGCTTCTGTCTTCACTGATAACAATATGACAAATGTGAAGCTTCCAACTAATGCCACTGAGCCACTCTATGCATGGTGTCATTCAATGGTAATTATATAATAACATGAGCTTTTGGAAAATTGCACCGCGAGGAAAATGTTGAACCGCCGCAACACGTGTCACACCTCACCTCACGACGATTTGGTAAAGACTCAGAATCCAAATGTAAACAAACCCACATAATCATAAGGTGCCAGAAGCAAAAAAAAAGAGTGTCCCACGTTATTTAAACAGTGTAGAATTCCAGAGGGGGTACCGTAAAATGGGGTAACTTAGACCGGCAGGGTAACTTAGACCACTTTTCGTTTTTTTTACAAAAACCCCCACAACTCAAAAACTATTTGACATAGAAAAATTTTGTCAATGGGCATTAAAGGCCTAATACTGAGGCTACATAACACAATAGTGGTAGTCACATTTCCCTCATTATGGGGCGGCGCCCCCCATTTGCAAACTATGACACTTTCCTCAAGTTTGTCATTTGCATATGTAACTAGAAGAGTTCTACTACAATGCACCAAAACCTGGAGTTATTTGGAGTTATTTTACAAAAAAAAATAATTGATTTTAACACCCGGTCTAAGTTACCCCAAGAGCTGGGGTAACAAAGACCATCACTTTTTTTATAATTACATAAAGACTATGAGAGGCAGGAGCCAGCAATTTATGGTGAGTGAAGCTAGAGTATAGACCTGTATTTTGCATGTTTCAATTCAAGTTTAGTTTATCTAGTAAGAAAATGGCATCATTTATAAGAAAAAAAGTGGTCTAAGTTACCCCATTTTACGGTATTATATTAACTGGTAAGTGGTAAACATAGCAAATTGGAAAGCAGGACCCAAAAATCTGGACGTCCAGCACACTTCCACTTCCAGTCCATCATCATCACTGAGGAGTCTCTGCAAGATGCCACAGCTGTTTCATTAAAAAAAACAGCGCTTGCATCATCACAGTATCAAGAAACCAATCAAAGCTTGAACGCGCCCTACGTAACAGTCACAAGAATCCAATCAATGCTTGAACACACCCAACGTACTGTCACAGGGATCCAATCATCCCTAGAACGTGTGCAACGTCACAGCCACTGGAATCCTATCAGCGATAGAAAGCTAGAAGGGACCGCCTCAAATGCACACAATGTTAACGCACTGATGCTAACTTAATGCGTAATGCTACAATTCGTATTTCAAGAGCGTAATACAATAGTGTAGTTATGTCATTATTGATAGAAATTGCAAAGAATAACATCTTCACTATGTACACTCACTCACAAATACATGAAAAACTGCCTATGATTCAATCCACAAATGCAAAACTGACCACCGATGCAATCAGCTGAGACATACAATCTCCTTTCGTTGCAATCAGCCGAACAAAAAATGTAAACAAAGAAGGTAGCAGGGATACCAACCTCACCGGCAACCAATGTGAAACCAACATCAATATAGTCATGCAAAAAAATGAAAGACACAAATTCTTCTATATTAAAAATTTATCAGTAACTGACATTCAACAGAAATCAGAATGGTTTAATAACCTTCGTAAATATTATGCAGAATCAATACAGCCACTACCCCATGCAGAATCAATTGTGTGCAGGAATCTAATGATGGTTAGTGGTTAGTTCTCATTACGCAATCGGTGGGACGGGTGGGTGAGGTAACTACAGAACATTACTGTAGATAAAGCTCCCAAACTTCGAGATGATAATTGAGTGAAAACTTTATGTGATATATTGTGAGCCTTCTAAAGTTTAAATAATAAAGAAATCACAAGGTTCACAGAATCTAAAGGTTTGAATGCTCAATTTTTGACTTTCAAGCACTCTATTGACTATTGAGTCTATTCTAGTCAGTCAACTGTGAAGTGTCATGTTGTTTGTTGTGCATTGCCTTTTCTTCGAGAAGTTTCTTCAACTGCCGATGAGTTTCTCCTCAATTTGAAAGCTGAGGTAATGAATAGGTGCCATAAATGTTTTTTTTATATATTTAATTTGAAACTATTATGTTGGGAGTAAATAGTATTTCCTTCTGTAGATCCATCCCTCTTGCTCATCTGTGAGTAACGCGCGCAATTAACAATCTTGCATGGGACCTTCTCTGTGTTGCCTGACTTGACGTTCATACGATCATAGCTACCGTAACCGAAGCCGATTTCTGACGGCCTGCAAATTGTTTCTAGTTGCCTGGAATGTTTTTATTAAGGTGGAATGCTTTTTTTTATGTGAACCACGAATTTTAGAATTCCAGCCTGCCCGAGTAGCCCCGTTGAACGGGGCTACTCGAGACACTTGGAATAAAACTTCATTTTAAAACATTTGAAGCATGAAGAGTGTACTCATCCATTACTAACAGTACTCTGAAGTCCTCCTCTTTCATTGTAGATGATGTAGAGGTAGAATAAATGACATTTTCTGTGATTTTTACTTGTTTTTCCTTTATTGATATGATATTACCATATACATTAATTACCGTATTATTGATGTGATATTACCGTATCCATAAACATGCCATTGAGCATTTACAAAAACCTTGTCCACTGCAAGCTTCATATCAGCAGCCTTATAGCATTTTTTCTGTATCTGTAAGCTTACAGGATGGCTTGTAATTTCACACCATTTAAATTGGGTTAAGTGAATTTACTATAAAAAAAAGATCATGAAAAACATACCTGAAACAGAAAGGAATGTTTTAGTGACGACCATTGTATGTTTTGGAGAAATAAATCATAGTTTAGGTCAATTACTTTTCATTCTATGATGCCTGGTGCACAATTCTATATACAACATTCTATGCACAATTTTGTGATGACCGATGATGCACTAATTTTTTGATAAGTGAAATTTTTTTCACTGAGCGAGGTAAATGTAATCAATATTCTTTGTTTTTAATCAATTTTTTCTTAACTGGAGCCTTTGCTAACTGAGGTTCTACTGTAAAATACATTTTTAGGGGTGTCCCGAATAGCCCCGGGGGGAAAGGTGCGGAAATGGCCGCCAATTTTTTTGGGATTGAGGTATGTAAATTCTGCAAATTCATGCTGACACTTGTCTGCCACTTTTTTCTAAGCAAAATTTTTTAATATGGCAAATATTTTTTTTTACTACAGACCTTAGCAGAAGTAACTTTTCTAAATATCGGTTTTCACCATTTTTTTCAGGAATTTTTCAAAGCTAGTAAATGTAGTATTTTTGAACTTCCTTTATACTACATAGATCGGAAAAATGTTGACATTTACGCCACTATATTTAGTTTTGCAATATTCCAATTAGTTTTGCTACTAAAACTGTTTTACGCCGTGTCGCAGGACTGTCCCGAGTTACCCTGCCCGTCCTGAGTAGCCTCAGTTGACGGTAGACATAATAGGGCAAAAACATGAAAAAATTCATGTCAATCACAATATCAAGAATTGTCCTAATGCTGGTAATTCAGTCCATAAATGCTGCACTTGTGGAGGTCCTCACACAACCAATTCCCAACTGATATGCTGTTAAAGTGGGCAATAGGTTACAGCCCTCAAGAGCTACTCAGAGACAGCCAGAACCACTGAATCATTCTTTACAGATCTATTCAACTCACCAACAGTCCTCTGATGCTTATAATGTACATAACAGAGCCAAGCATGTGAGAGGCCGAGAAACTCCATTAAGGTCAGTTGCCACCCAAACTTTGAACAGCCGTGAGCCTCTTTCAGCTCTATGTGGGGATATTTCTGTTGCAAAATTAATAAAGCTGCTCTTGAAATTTTTATGATTGTGTGGCAATACTGCCAATATTGACATTGTTGGAGCACTGGAGCAGTGACAAGGAGTGCTGAGGACACATTCAAGACATCAATCCCACCCACTCTTCTTCTACATAGAGCTGAAGCCCTTGATGAACCAACTTCTGAATTCCATGCTGTCACACCTTGTGAGCTGGCGCCTGCAGTGATAAACCCTGTGATGATGATTATAGGGGGGTCAGTACTTGCTGAGAAAGACCAAACAACTCAATAGGCTCCAGCCCACTGCAACCCTCAGCAGTAAGGTTACTAAGCAACCAGCAGCATATGTTGTTGGCAGTTCCGGCCTTGGACACGCAGATAACTATCAATATGCAACCCTACCCTATCAGCAGAGGCCAGTTTCTGCAGTGCTAAGTGACCAATTTTCATAACATTTGGAATCTGGACAGATCATCATGCAGTTTTATCAACAATTAAATAAGGGATAATTCATCTAGCCAGAATCTCTTGGCTCTGAAAATCACAAGAAAGCTTTAGTTGCATGGCTGAAAATAGCAGGAAAGCTTTAATTATGGCTTGAATGGTGGATGTGACTCATAATAGGATTCACAGGCATTTTTGTTTGATTTACGAGTAGTTTCTGCCCAATTTTACACTTTAGACCAAGGCCTAGCTAGGAGCCTCCCATGCTGGCAGCTTCTTCATGTTTATGTTGTCAGACTGCAGTTCTCAATACGGAAACACCAGTAATGTATTCAGTTTTATGCATGTTGATTTATACATGCAGGGGATTTTCTATAACCTCAAATTACAAGACAAAAAAGGATTAAACAAAGAACAATATACTAGTTTAGACTGAAATAGATTATATTTTGAGTTGACTGTATCCAAATTGCAGAATTTTGCAAGTTTATAAAATATCTAATTTGCATTTCTTTTTTTATCAGTTCACAATCAAATATCAATGTGTTTTTTGTCTCACCAAAGTTAATGTTTTTCAGAGAGTGCTCCTTTACTATGCATTGAACGGACTGCCATTACACAGTCAAAATGACCAGCTAGAAGCTTTAGTTTAGATTATTTGTTAAAAACAACTCAAGATACTTGTTCTCTAGTGTTGCATTGCCTGCAGTCACAGGATGGGGACTGTCTATGCCAAGGTATGTTCATATGTAGGGATATATAATTGAAGCCTCAAAATATTAGCTTCCTCACGATTTTTGTTGGATCTTTGTTTAGGCATTTGAATGCACTTGGAACAAAAAGTCTCAATTTTTGTGGTGGTGGTGTATAAAAATAATTTTCAGGAAGATAAGGGCTGAGTTTAAACAAATAATTGTAATCGTACAACAAATTTATGCAGTTAATGCAAATGGAGACCTGAATGGGAAATTCTGGGACTGTACAAGCAACATAAATCCTTTAGCACAGGTAATAAACCAAACTTAAGATTATCATTATTTTTTTAATCTTCATCTGCAGAATGGTACGTAATTCTAAGTTGTTTTCTATGATGATCTAAATTATAATTATCTTTACTACGGTACTTCTAAATTTCTATCTTTGTATTTATGAAAACGTATATCTCCATAAAATTGTTTAATTATCTTCTGTAATAAGTTCTTTTACTTTAGAATCACTTTTTATTCTATGTTTAAATTCATGCTCGATGCTGCAGAGTGTTGACCAAGATGCCGACAAGGAGTCTGTTCGGAAGAGCGACCGAATCGACTTGCAGAGCCTCAAGGTGAGTACCTGTTTTTAGCGCATTTTCTCATTTATGGAAAAATGCCCTATTGTGCTTGTCATGTCTGTCCGTCCGTCTGTCCATGACTTCACGTTTTCATCAATTCTGAGAAAATGCGCTCCCTGTCACTCGCTGCAGTGAGTACTGAGTTATATTTTTTTACTGTGTTTTGATTATTTTTCTTTGCTTGATGTTTCAAAACACTTTCAGTTTGTCAATCCGGCAATAGTTTTCAAGTGCTCTTCTGTCTCAAACTATTAGGTAGGTAAAGATGATGGTGGGAGTAATAACTTGTGTACTATAGAGCTATTGGTTTTGAAGTCTGCTATGCTCATCCTCAAGAATCAGTTAACCTTGATGCATCAAACCTCAGTACAGGTCTCAGTTTTAGCTTGCATTTTTCCAAGTTTTTTTATTGAATTTCTTCATTTTGATGTGAAAATAATATACGTTTAAAAATTACTTTTTAACTTAAAAAATTACTTTTTAAAGACAACACTTCTAAAGAATTCAGTGTTTTCAATGTTACAGATGTACAATGAATTTCTAATTTTATTTTTGAATATTAGAAAAATTAATTTTTCAATTTATTTTAATATATAAAATTTTTTCAAAATTATTTATTCTGTCAATTGATTCATGCATTGCCTCCAACTTCACACAGGTGTTCAAAATTTCAGGTCAATTGGACAGGTAAAAGTGTATTAAATATCAGTTATAAGATTTCTGGCTGACAAAATTATTTTTTCAATTTTTTAATATTAAAACAAAATTTTTTTTAATCTTTTTTTTTGTCATTTGATTCTTGCATTCTCCAACTTTATGCAAGTGTGCAAAATTTCAGATCGATAGGATAAGTAGAAGTGTGTTAAATTTTGATAATAAGATTTGTAGCAGACAGACAGACAGACAGACAAGAAGTGAAGTTAAAGAGAAGTGTTGTAAAAAGTATTAAAAATGTTGTTAATTTAGTGGGATTTAACTTGTGAGGCATTCCCCATCCATTACATTCATTCTGAAACAAAAGTATTTTATTATGAACTACTATTTTATCTACCATTGTTTGTTAAATTTTTCTCATTTTATAATCACATGCAGCTGCCAATAACTGCATTATGTTTTATGTACACAATTGTGATATTTTGCCTTATGAATATTTCATATTTAACCTTATGAAGAAGACATTAGTGAATATTACTTACATAATGCCATTAATATCTGAAAGCATGGAGCATCGTTCTCTTCTAGATTCAAATTCAGATCTAAGTGAACATTAGAAGTATTCTTAACTGTAAATTTGTTTTACTCCTTTCTATTGCACATTTAAATCTTGGACTGAACAGTGAAGCAGCTACCTAACATAAATTGTCAGTGATTCATGATGCAATAATCACTTCAACACAATTTTTCCCCAATAATAGTTTGCTAATAACTTTTAGAAGTTTTTAAGTCATACTCTTGCTGCATTACTGTGCAGCAAAATGTCAGAAAGAACAAACGTTTGAAAGTTGGTGCAGTTCGCTTGAGAGAAACCTTAAAACGGATCAAAAGGCAGAGCCTCATGCAAAGACTGCAACATCAGAAGGTTAGGCTGCTTGACTGCCCTAGAATCATGGTGGTAAAACTAAATCCAGTTTTTTTACCCTTCTTTGCTTATTGATGAATTATTTTGTTGATTTTATTGAATAAATACATAAGTCCAGTTTTGCTTCAGACAAGTTAACTCATTCAATATGGAACATCATTTCTTAACATGTTAAGTGCGGCCATGTTGTATTAAGTGTGTATTTCATACCGGTGTTACGACCCACCCGTGAGTTGTACCGCACTTAACGTGTTGATGAAGTAAAGAAGTACCAGAAAAGCAACTCTTTTGTCACCATGCTTTTATTTTACCATTGCACAATTATTGTCTTGGTGCTTATTCCTTCCTCTTTGAATTTGTGATGGAAGCTACCATTATAAGATTAATCGGATGAGTATTAAGTGAATAATTTTCAAATTGCTTCTCCCAGGACAGTGAAGCAGTAAGCCTTCTCAGATTTGTGTTCTATTAACTTGATATAAAATACTTCCTTGGACTTTGTTTCTTGAAACTCATTGTTGGTCACTGATGATTTGGTTGTTCAAACTTAAGTATGAGATGACTTGCGCAAATAATTCTTCATGTTCACAGAAATTTTTTTATCAAGTGTGACTGAGAGACAGACATCTGACAATAAATTGACAAAATGCAATTTTTTTGCATTAGCTTACCTCTAAAAAGTATTTATAACACTCCTGAAAAGGATCATAAATCCTGTTTAAAGTACGTACCACCACTATAGAGTTATTAGTAGAATAAAAATCAAATTTGTGCAGAGGAATTGGCTTATAAAGGTATTCCTACAAGGACCAACTGATGTAAGTTGTACAGATTAAGTTGAAACAAAGCAACTATGAAGATTGACAGTGTTTGAGTGTTTAATATGCTCAACAATCAACTTTAATTTTGTTTCTTAAGGATCATTTTACTAATGTTCTAGCTGAAAATAGGTTCAAGAAAACTACTACAAATGGCAAAAAACAAGCAGCAAGAAGGCAAAATTTTTGTGCTCAGGCAAACATTTGTGACACAATTTGACACAATTTACTTTATGATTAAGAATTAATAAATATTCTGACCATAATTCAGCTTAGTTACCATATAGCATTATTAGAACTGTACTGCAGCCCCACTGCGACATCTACAACATCAAGACAGACAAGTTTCCTTTCCACATCAAGTATATATATGGGATTTAAAGAGAGCCTCAAAGCTGTCATATACGTTACTGGTAGAATAACCTGACATGAGCACCTATCCAGTCATTATTAATGGATTGCCCCACCCATCCCAAGAATATTTTATGATTTCATGGCTGCAGAGTGGCTCTTGACCTTGAAAATAATTTAAGCTTGATTATGTGAATCAATGTTTAGTGCTTACTGTAGTTTATCTGTAATTAACAGCTACTTTTGTTTGAAAATTATTATCAACAGTGATGTTTATAAATTGTTTGAACTATTGATAAAACATCATGAAAATTATATTTATTTTGCTTGACTTTCTCATTATGTATCACAATTTTCATTGTTAGATGTTATTGAACACTGACTTTTTATAACTCTATTTACCCAATTCTTGACTTAGATTAATCATGACGCCTTACAAATAATGGATGCTTCAATGACCTTTTATTTTACTGTTTTATGTTTCCTAATTAACTCAATTTCAGAATTAATATATTTTTGATACAGTAGATTAACAAATGTTGCAGTAATAATTAACTAACAGGTTTAAACTTCCTCTATTGACATTTAATTATTTAACCTAGAGCATAAATGGAAAATATTTCTGAATTATCAACTTTACAGATCAGATATGGAGAGCTGAAGTTAAACATTTCAATTCATCTTGCATTAATTTTTGTCTAAACCATGTTCACATCAAAAAGTTGAGATATAGACATATTTACATGGATTGTAACCTTATTTTATTTAACCTATTCCATGCCGCTGGATCTTATTTGCTTGTCCAGGTCAGAGGACTCATAAATGCGAAGCATTTTGTGAGTTGATTAAATGCATGGTATGTAGTTAAGTTTTTGTCATTCTGTTGTACAAAAAATGAATGTTTACTTTCCCTCAATTTTATGACTTATGACCTCAACATATTCTATTGTAAATGCTGAGCACAACAATCTACACCCAATGATATTCTTTAATGTGTATTGAAACTTAATTTTCTACCCTTATAAACAATCATGTAAATTAATAATACTGGCAAATCATAGCACCAGCCAGAAATTGTCAGTTCCAAATCTTATTCTCTTGAAACTGCAGGAGTCTCACCTTTTGCATTCATTGAGTTTCAACATCAGTTTAGGTTATCTCTTCATGGTGTTTGCATACTCATTTGGCATGGAGTTGTGTATGTGTTTTTTACCTATTTATGCTTTTACTAGTCTTCCATTTCTTTTATTCTTTTTTTCTACTAAGAAAAGAAAATACTTCATGATTGTTGTTGATATTATAATATCAATCAAATGTTATTGATATATAAATATCAATCAAAATTGCATTTAAATCATACAAATGTACACCACTTGAATCCTAAAATAGGGAAAACTTGTTACAATATTTTCTGAGACTTCCATCTACAGCTCAGGTAAATTTATTTAGTAGAGTGTTGATAAATACAAAGCTAATGAACAACATTTATTACAAGCACTCATTTTGAATGTTGGCTGCTACCAGTGCTGGTTCTTCTCCCTGGAGTCATAAGATGCTCAATAAGCTCTAATTTTATGGCTTCTTCTTGACTGTAATTTTATATCAGCTTTATCCAATAACCTCGGTATGGTTTATTATTTACGCCTTAACAATACATTTAATTTAGGGAGCTTCAGAGGCAATGATTTTTCAGTCATATTAGTGACTGCTTCTTTAGGGACACAAATTCAATATAAAATTATCTTAGGATTACTTGTAGTGCTGTTCACCTCAAATGTACAGACATTTGATGATAAATGCATGATATGTGTAAAAAATGCTACATCAAACAGTAATACTTGTACAATAATGTAGTATTGGTGCTGGTTACGCTCTAATAACATTATTGAATGAAAAGGGTTACTATAGTAGAACTTGTTTTTTATTTGCACAATCAAGCTCCTAAATTCTTATCAAAGATTGTGGGACTTTCAATGCACTTCAAACACAGTCATAACCAATGGTCTTCAATTTTGGTTATATATGCAAATGGTCAATATTTTCCTTTTGATATCATATTTCCTTTTTAACATTTATTAATTAACTATATTTTCTAGTGAATCCATTGAATGCATTTGAGATAATGCACAATAACCATTTTGTCCATGGTGCCATTTATATGCATTTTAATTTCTCTTGGCATGGGAATGCTGTAGAATTATTGGTAAAAAAATACAGGCTCCCTCCCCATCCTGATCTTACAACATGTGTCCAATCGCTGTGTTTGTTTCTCATCCATTTTTTATCTCTTACATAGGAAGATCCAACCTGTTGTTTTGTATCCAGTAATCAGAATTGTAATTTTAAAATATCCCTAGCCTCCTCATTTTTGTAAGAAAGCTTACAGAAATGATCTGTAAGATTTACAGAAGATGATTACAGAAAATGATTACATAAATGTTTGCCTCATTTCTGTAATAAATGAGGCCTCATTTCTGTAAGAAACGAGGCAAATTGCTACATATTCTAATAATTGAGATATTAATTTTAACAAAATTCTGTTCTGTTATTGAGTTAAAGAAGTGTATTGATATTAAAGGCTCAGGTGCAGAGGGTGCATGTGGCAGGCATAGGACGTACCAAGGAGGACATCATCATCAGCAGCGTCAAGGATGTCTTCTCCGCCAACAACTTCCAGTCTGTGAGTTGTGCAGAATTGCTACACCAGTTTCTTATCCAAGTACAATTGCTAACTCCATTGTTGAAACAGTGTGTTTTTCATTGTGAAGCAAATTCAAATGTGGAAATTGGTGCTGTACTTTCCATTGCAATTTCAATAAAGCAGATGCTGTTCTTTTGTGATAGCTTTAAAGTCAATACATAAGACTCATTTGTGCTCTCCATCTCATAATTATTATTGATATCATCATAGTTAATAGAAATGTTGTTCTTCAGGTTGTACTGAAGATCCATGAAGCACGCAGTCGACTAGAGGAGCTTGGCTGCTTCAAGGGCGTGGATGTCCTCATTGACACCTACGAGGGATCTGATGCCCTCACTGATGGCATACAAGTCAGTTCCTTTCATACCACAAGGATCCTCCGCTATTACTAAGATCCACAGTTCCTCTCATACCAAAAAAAGTTGTGTGCATGTCTCTCATGGACTGGGTACTTAGTTGTTATTGTTCAAAAGGTCTTCTGGTCACAATATCTGAAAAAAACCGGAGCTGTGATTTACAAGTGTCAGTTCCATTCAAAGAACAAAATGTCATAACTAGGCAAAGGGTTATTTGTAGATAATTGTGGAGTTATTCATCTCTACAACTCTACATGGCATTTGTAAAACTGTACGTACCTTCACTTGGTACAATAATAACGTGACAAAATTACATAGCCTGACAAAGGATAAAACTCATTCTCATTGGCAGGTCACATTCGAAGTGGAGGAGGTGAAGGTGCTTGGTGCCCAGGCCAACACCGCCGTGGGGCAAAACGAGGCGCTCTTTAATGGCGGCGCCGCGCTCAGGAACATCCTGGGGCGCGGTGAGCACTGCACCGTCAGCTACGGCCGTGGTACTAAGAAGACAACCGCCTTCGCTGTCACCGCCGTCAAACCCATCCATGACCGCTTCAGATCAAGGTAGTGGCAGTCAATTACATCCACGACCGCTTCAGATCAAGGTAGTGGCAGTCAAACTTCTGCAATAAATCGGATAATAAAAAGTTTACCTGTCATTAGACGTAGATTATTAACTAGAAAAATTTTATCTTGCCTATGAAAAACTATTGGTACCAAGAACCTGTATCAATAATCGAAATTGATACATGTTTCAGGAACCGAAGACATGATGCATGTTTAAAATGCTCTGTGTGATGAATGTTTTAACTATGTCACGCGCATGTGAAATGTCCTCACCACGCCTCCCCCACAGAGTGACGAGCAGTGTGCACCAGAGTTCCCTGGAGGCGGGCTGGTCGGGGTACAAGCTGTTGGAGCGCGGCGCTGCTCTGGGCGTCACATTCAACACCACCCCCACCGTCAGTAAACAATAAAATAGCTTGCCTAGGTTCTCCTGGAAATAACTTAGAAATAAGGTTCCCAGTGAAAATATTCTAGTGGGAACCTTATTTCTAACAGTTATTTCCAGGGGAACCTACTTTATTGCACGTATTTCTGCTGGGAGCCTTTTTTTTCTAGCAAGTAATTCTCAATAAAATATGGTTCCCCTGAAAACAACTATTAGAAATAAGGTTCCCAGTAAAGATGTTATAAGGGGAACCTTATTTCTAACGCTTATTTCCAGGGGAACCTACTTTATTGCACGTATTTCTGCTGGGAGCCATTTTTTCTAGCAAGTAATTCGCAATAAAATATGGTTCCCCTGAAAATAACTGTTAGAAATAAGGTTCCCAGTGAAGATATTATAAGGGGAACCTTATTTCTGACAGTTATTTCCAGGAGAACCTAGGGGAACCATATTGTATTAAGAATTAGTTTTTAGAAAAAAGGCTCCCAGTGGAAATACGTGCGTAGCTCCTGTGTCCTCAGATTAACTCTTCACTCACTATAGAACTTCTTGTCAAGTTGTAAAATAACTTCAACTCAAGCCTAGCTCATCACTTTTAACCATATCTTCAACTGAACCTCTGCTCTTTGTTTCGTATAACTTCTTTTACTTCAAAGTTACGATATCACTCCTAGGTACTGAAGCACGACTCATCACTTTTAATCAAACTTATCAAGTTGAAAAGTCACTTCAGCTGAAGCTGATACTCTCTAATTTAATCTAGCTTATTTTCATGTTTCCATCACTTGACGAGGTCAGTATTCATGCTAGAAAATTGTGCAATGTATCAATCAAAAGGCGTGAGCTCTACCCAGCTTGAAATTGTCTGCTTCATTCAAATGTTCATGGACTTAAGGATCATGCATTAATAATTATTAAGAATTCGCGAGAATTAATTATTAAGAATTAAGAATTATCAATATTATCTCTGTAATATTAGATTACGCATTAATAATTATTAAGAATTCGCGAGAATTAATTATTAAGAATTAAGAATTATCAATATTATCTCTGTAATATTAGATTACATCATTACATGATTTCTATTCACTTATAATCAGAGGAAAACAATGTTTTTGTGGTGCATTTTCTGAAAAAATTTCACTTATAATTATTCAGTCAGTTTCTTCATAAATTCAGTTTTATTGTGCATTCACTAAGTATTATCAATCATTTTTTCAAGTGCTGCCATCATTGCTCAACACAATTGCGTTTGCTAAACTCTAAACTCTATTTGACCAAAAACATATTAAGAAAGCCATCATTTTAATATACCATCGTGTTTTCGTGCGAAAAAATATGTTTTGAGGTGAATTTATTGCAGAATTAATGTAGCAAAGTTTTATGTGGCAAATTATGTTATAATCATAACGAACTATTATATCAGTTTTTCCTGTGAGAAATAGCGTAGATATTTTTCAAGGTTACGTAGGTATATTTAATATCAATTTTTTTTTTGTATGCGTGAAACTATATTAGGATTATATTGCAGACGAGCCACGAGTTGACAGCAGAGGCAGCATGGCGACATTTGTCCTGCTTGTCAAAGACGACAGCTTTTGGCGTGCGGGAGCACAGCGGCCACACCCTCAAGACCTCCATCAGGTACTGCGTCAGCGTCGACACCAGGGACCAGCACATCTTCCCCACCCGCGGCCACCTCCTCAGGGCCCAGGTACTGCCTCCCTAGGGGACCAGCACATCTTCCCCACCCGCGGCCACCTCCTCAGGGCCCAGGTACTGCCTCCCTAGGGGACCAGCACATCTTCCCCACCCGCGGCCACCTCCTCAGGGCCCAGGTACTGCCTCCCTAGGGGACCAGCACATCTTCCCCACCCGCGGCCACCTCCTCAGGGCCTGGGTACTCCCCTCCTGCCCCTGGGGCTTTATTCATTATTGACTGCAATGAAACGAGAGACCCGCCCAACCTCCCCACTCTCATCGTTATGCACCCCGCCGTTGTAATGTATTAATTACGCATTTAATGATTACGTAATTAAAGACTTGATACTTCGCGTCATGATGTTGGATTACATCATAAGAATGTAATTCGTTATATAACGGAGTATATGAGATGCATCAATTTGTGGGATTAGAGGCATTGTTATTCGTCATGCTGCTGTGTGTTACAGAATTATTTTAGTCTAGCATTGCAGGCCGAAGTATGTTCAGCTACATTGGTAAGGCCATTCAGAGTTTCAGTTTATTTATGGTTTCAGTTCATTATGGTTTCAGTGCTGTTTGATGAATAGTTTGCGATAGAAATAATCCAACAGCATTAGTTTAAAAATGTTGACGCGCATGGACAGAGGCTTATGTCTGGCCTATGAAGAACTTATCTCATTATTGTAAAATATTTAAAGATCTCACGTTGCTCGTGGATCATCATGAACAACACGAACCTAATGGGAAAAACTTGAGTTATAGTGATCGTGGATAAATAATTATGTCGAATTTCCGCTCTACTAAGCCGTGTGCCTTTCCTACAGACCGAGGCAGCGGGCTACGGTGGCAACGTGGGCTTCTCGAAATCCGAACTCCAACTACAGGCCAACCAAGCTCTTCCTTNGGGGAGCTGACCTTTGATGTGGTCAGTGCTGGGGAGCTGTCCTTTGATGTGGTCAGTGCTGGGGAGCTGCCCTTTGATGTGGTCAGTGCTGGGGAGCTGCCCTTTGATGTGGTCAGTGCTGGGGAGCTGCCCTTTGATGTGGTCAGTGCTGGGGCTGTCGAGGATTCTGGAAGGATTCAGGGTGCTGATTTCGATGAACTGTTTGATTTGCTCCTTTAGTCAGCTGGCAATTAAGAACGGTTTTGTAATTAAAAACCGTTTGACTCGTCCAAACGATCGAATATTGCCACTGAAGCTACAGTCACTTTTTTATTGTTTTTCTTCAGTGCAGAAACTAGACGATACTTGGTTTTCTTCTAGACGATACTTTGGGAATACCTTGGGCATCTTTCATAAAGATTCTCGGATTTGTTATATTTATTAATTAACTTTTCACGTACCCAGGTGACGCAAGTAAGCCTGAGCCTAGGTCACCTCGCGCCTCTGGGGTCCAAGGGCTTCACCATCGCCGACCGCTTCTTCATGGGCGGCCCCACCACCTTCAGGGGATTCCAGATGGGGGGCGTCGGGCCCCACAGCGACAAGTGTGCCTTGGGCGCGCAGGTGGGCACACCAGAGGGCCTGGCCTCTTGGGTGGCAGGTGGGCCCACTAGAGGGCCTGGCCCCTTGGGTGGCAGGTGGGCCCACTAGAGGGCCTGGCCCCTTGGGTGGCAGGTGGGCACACCAGAGGGCCTGGCCCCTTGGGTGGCAGGTGGGCACACCCGAGGATGCCTGGCCTCTTGGGTGGCCCCTTGGTTTTAGGTTTTCTGCTGGTTGAAGTTACTTGTTTTTTATGAGTGGGTGAATGGAAACGCCCAGCATGTATTTGCTCCGTTTTCATGAATATTCGGCTATAGAAACATCGTACAATAGGAAATATTCTTAATTCAGATTAATATTTTTCGAGTTGGTAAATTGCTGGTGCTTTGGCTAAAGTTTGATTCAAGAAAGATTCAAGTGCTGTGATTTTTTTGGGGGGGGATACGAAGAAATGCCTGGTCTCTGGATTCCATGCAGTTTTTCATTATTCACTGAAAATATCTTTGAAGGGTTGCTTTCATATTTTTTGAGCATGAAAGCACTTAGGAACGAATTGCAGTTATCATTGATGTCCGTTGGAATAGGAAGGAAATATTCCGCGTGTTGTCTTGGGCAGGAAGGACACGAGCCTTGTATTGGGATTGTTGTGCACCTTATGTTGCGTTACATATAGTGCTAGTCGAAAAAAACTAACTGAAAAAATTGAAACAAAATCGATGCATTACTGCCTTCTAATTGCATGAACTGCCTTTAGGCTCGTGACAGGCAGTTGTTATTATTAGTGCATCTGTAGCTGCATTACAGTGACAGTACCACTATGCTTTGGTAGTAGCATTATTGTGCTTCAGTAACTGAATTACAGTGACAATACCACTATGCCTTGGTAGGTAGCAGCATTATTGTATTTCGGTGACTGTGCATCGGTTACAGTCATTGGTACATTGGTATGTTGCCCCGTAGTTGTAGATATATATATACTGCAATTCTATTAGCTTTAGCCCTGCCCTTTAATCGATTGAAAAAGCACCGCGTTTTCCTTCCCAGGGGCCATACTTTCAAAATTCGCTAAGTGAACGTAAGTACTTACTCTCAATTTTCATGTCCATGATTGGTGGATTTTGCTTGAAAGGCCGTCAATGATTGGCTGATGAACTTACGATCTCTTAACTTATTTTGAAAGTATAGACCCAGTTTTCCTTAACGTTCTCGCTGTTCCTGCAGAGCTACTGGCTGGGCAGTGCACACGCCTACGCGCCGCTGCCGCTGCTGCCGCGAGGTTCCTTCGTCGACCGCTTCAGGCTGCATGCCTGGGCCAGCGCCGGCACCCTCGCCGACCCAGCCGCGGGTGAGAAACAGGACGGGTGAATTCTGGGCAGGGTGGATGTGTCCTTGGCAATATGAGTGAGTTCTGCGCAGGGTGGGTGATTAATTGGTAGGGTGGGTGAGTTCTGGGCAGTGTGGGCGAGTGATGGGCAGGGTGGGTGAGTTTAGATTCTATATTAAAAGAAAGGCTCGAGAGACTCGTCTGTACTTTGCTTCTTTAATACAATAAGGCTATGGCTATGGTGGTGGGCGACTGGCTATGGTGGTGGGTGAGTGGCTATGGTGGTGGGCGACTGGCTATGGTGGTGGGTGAGTGGCTATGGTGGTGGGCGACTGGCTATTGTGGTGTCGACTGGCTATGGTGATGAGTGAGTGGCTATGGTAGTGGGTGACTGGCTATGGTGATGAGTGAGTGGCTATGATGGTGGGCGACTGGCTATGGTGATGAGTGAGTGGCTATGGTGATGAGTGAGTGGCTATGGTGGTGGGTGAGTGGCTATGGTGATGAGTGAGTGGCTATGGTGATGAGTGAGTGGCTATGGTGATGAGTGAGTGGCTATGGTGATGAATGAGTGGCTATGGTAGTGGATGAGTGTTGAGTATCCGCGCTATTGAGCCAGAAACTCATGAGAAGCTCTATACGAGTCACCCGTTGCAGGAGGCGCCGACGCAGCAGCCAACTTGGCCGCCCGCATGAGTCTGGGGGCGGGCGTGGCCGTGAACGTCGGGGGCGTGGCGCGCGTAGAGCTCAATTACTGCGTCCCAGTGAGACACAGACCCTGGGACAAGACCCAGCCGGGACTGCAGCTCGGCATCGCTGCTGATGTTCTTTAGCGAAGCTTCCATGATCCTGGTTCATTGTATCGCTTTGACTTTCACGATATTCTTGTTTGTTTGCTATTGCATCACGTATTGCTGTATGGTTATCACTGTGTCGCTTTACCAATACGTTCGTATAGGTACATATACAGCGACGTGTATGCACATAGATGTGCCAACGACACTCGAGTTGAATGCTAATCTTGGCAACGACAGTGAGTTTGAATTTCTTTAGGGCAAGCGTCAAGAACGTGATAAGGTCATGTAATAAAACTGTGGCAGTCAAGCTGTTTCCTCATGTCAATTTTTCGCTTGGGTCAACTTGACCGTGTTCATAATTAAAGGTTTTAACTTTCCTCGCTTCATTTGCGTGTCGATATCGCTCTTGGTGACAGCGATGGCAACGAGTTTATGGTTCACCGAGCTGGGTCATGGCTGATAGGAGTGATGAGGTGCAGCTACCAGGCTCATGTAAATAATTAAAGTTTGTTCCAATTATTTATAGCGATGTTGGAAGCGCGGTTTGAAGTCTTCACAGATTCAAGTCGTGAATTTCGACGGATAAGTAAATGTTAAAGTACAGTTGAATCAAAATACCTGGGGCAGTGAGCTATGGAAAACGCCTAAGTTTTTAAATTTCGTCGAATGTTATGTCCACGGTACGGTTAAACCTAAAATAAATTTGTATTACCTCTACATCAATGAATTCTAACATGAGCGCTGGTGCTAAGAATATTATTTATGTAAACTAAGTTGTATAGTAAGTTTAACCAAAATAAGAATGGAAGATGGTGCCTGTGAAATGCAAAATTGTACTACGGTCTATCCCGGGTACTTTCCTGCCGCCATTGTGTAAAAATTGGTGTGTTAGGAATATATTGTAAAAAAAATGTTTTCTGGTAATATAATCCAGTCTTCAGGGTCAGCATCTGTTAAATAAGCTACAATGGGAGAAATCGATTAATGTGCTTACTTCGGAATATAAAATCAAACGACGCAACAAACCTTGTTGATTATATTCTCTTATTTTCACTCAACCTTACAAAGGAAATCTTTCACTCTCAATAAAAAAATGAATTGAGCGTTTATTTTAAAAAATGAGAAATAATAACAAATGCGCTGTCTTCTTGCAGAATAATGATAATCCTCCAGAATCAGCGGAACTGTAATTATTGGCTCGAGCGCTACTCCAGAATTTGTATTGCAAAAATAAAAAGCAAATTCGTTTTTTTAATTAATGTATCGCGATGAGTGATGTATGCAATGTTCTGTCGTTATTAAGTAGCATCCCTGCAGCCTTAAAGTTTAGTGATGAGTGATGTATGCAGTGATGAGTGATGTATGCAGTGATGAGTGATGAATGCAGTGATGAGTGATGTATGCAGTGATGAGTGATGTATGCAGTGATGAGTGATGTATGCAGTGATGTGTGCAGTGATGAGTGATGTATGCAGTGATGTATGCAGTGATGTATGCAGTGATGTGTGATGTACCACATTGCTGAATTTATTCATTATAAAAAAAACCTAACATTGGACGAATGAGCTTAAAGCATGAACAAAAAAAACTATTTTAAAAGGCGCTTGGCTTGAAGAAGATTTTGAAAGGCGCTTAGCTAAAAAAAATTTTTGAAAGGCGCTCAGCTAGATAAAAAAAATTTTGAAAGGCGCTTAGCTAAAAAAATTTTTTGATAGTCGCTCAGCTAGATAAAAAAAAATTTCGAAAGGCGCTTAGCTACAAAAAAAAGTTATTTTGAAAGGCGACAGAAATGTACAGCTAGACGCTTAGGTGTTAAGCAAGCCCCGGCCACTGCATCCTGCTGGCGATGGAGGCGAGCGAGGCGTTGGTGAGGGGAGGCAGGTACGAGGCATCGACCACGTGCCTCACGTACCACGCAGCGCTGCCACTAAATGCTTGCGTGTATTCGTACTTGTACAGCAACGCACGCACACTCCTGCACGTGTAGGTATTAATTTCAATTTTATTCGTACTTATTTAATTTATTCGTACTTACAGCAACGCACGCACACTCCTGCACGTGTAGGTATTAATTTCAATTTTATTCGTACTTATTTAATTTATTCGTACTTATACAGCAACGCACGCACACTCCTGCACATATAGGTATTAATTTCAATTTTATTCAACACTTCTCAATCTTGAGAAACTTAGCAGAATTTTTAGTTCTTTGTTAGCGTTGCTTTTAATGCCAGAGCGCTACGGCCTTTCAGTTAACTGAAGAGTGACTTGAATAATTCAAATACTTTTTGAAGATGACTTACGGTGCTCCATTTAATGGCTCTTATTTCAATGGAACGTGAAGCGTCGTCGTGGATATTCATCACTGAGATGCAAGTCACGTCACTTAATGGGCAGCAAAAGTTAATGAAAACGATTTGTTACTGATAATGAAATTCAAATTGAGCTGATAATCTAGAGTCCGCTATGGGACCCCTTATTCTAAAACAGGAGCATTTCTTAATTGTCCAAAAAGGTCTCATTTAAGAATTTAACAACAAGAAAAGCCAAGAATTTAAGCCAAAAAATAAACCAAGTGCCTGAATTTATTTGGCATATCCTTTACTTTTATATTCTTTGCAAAATCTCACTTTCTCTACTTGAGATTTACATTTACCAAAATCTCATTTTCAATAATCTCTCATGAACAGTACATGAATTGGAAATTAACTGCGCTTCAAGCGATGGTATTTTAAGAATTCCGCAATATCGCTAATCAAAAGAAATGATGACAATCTTAGTTCGTTGATACTGCAGTTGTTAACATTGCCACTTTCTTCCAGGCCTTCTGGCTAGTTTTTTTTACAATTAATACGTTCTCAATAAAAGTGAAGACGTTATATATAGAACAGAAGTGTCGGCGTTGAAGAAATAGGCCCATGGCCTGTTGCCGATTCTTGAATTTTTCGTGACTTGATTCACAAGGGATCCGGCCTTTGGAACCCGATTTTTCCCTAACTGACGATATCCATAAGATGGACTGATATTTTATAATTTAGATATATATAATATGTATATAATAGTTATTATTATTATTTATAATTTAGATAGCATTGTATCACCTGGGGGGCGCGCGCGCCTCGAAGGGGTTTGTTCTGATGAGTGACGTGGCCGCCTCGTCGTTCTGCAGGAGTTTGTACACGAGGTGATACAGCCACGGGTTGTGTTCCGCGCGCTGTATACACAAATATTCATAAGGACAAGATGAATAATAATAATTTTACACCAATCTATTGGTCTCAAGTATCCGAAACTCGCTGATATACTCGCTAAACTAACATAGCAGTGAACCACATGAACCAGACCTGCATAGCAGTGAACCACATGAACCGGACCTGCATAGCAGTGAACCACATGAACCAGACCTGCATAGCAGCGAACCACATAAGCCAGTCGAGCCTGTAGTGGTAGGGCGATATAAGGCAGGGTCTGCGGTCTACAGCCCCAGGCACCACATGAACCAGACCTGCATAGCAGCGAACCACATAAGCCAGTCGAGCCTGTAGTGGTAGGGCGATATAAGGCAGGGTCTGCGGTCTACGGCCCCAGGCTTGCAGTTAAACTCGTACTCCAGCCACGAGCCGTCGCTGGCCAGACCCTCCAAGACCACCTCATGTCTCTCCTTGCTCACGCTGTGCATACGGGGACAATTGCAATATATTCATTTATTACAACATTAAACTAAATTATCTATTAGTGACTAACTTAGGCTTAGTTTACTACACTTTAATATGAAAATAGTAAACACCAAGTAATGTTTCAGGAAACCTAAAAATATGCGACATAAGGAGTCGAAGCGAAGTAGTTAAGATCAGCAAGGTGGAGCAGTGAGCTGTGGGTTCAAGTCTCACCTGGTTGTGAAAATCTCGGTCAAAATCGGCAAGGTTGCCGGGTGGTTAAGAACGGCAAAATTAGAGTTGTAGGTTCGAGACCCTTCTAGTTGTGAAAATTCTCCGCTGATAAGAATCCGCAACAATTGTCACACACGCAATTGCAAATTTTTATTATTAAATCATAGGTTGGTTTATGCCTTTGATTTAGTCATATAAGGCTAAAACCAAAAGGCTTGCGTTGTAGAATAAAAAAATCAGCAGCTATTGTACTCAAAAGAATTGCCGTCAGGCAGACTGTGGCGAGGTAGATTTGTCTAATAAAATTTTAAATGTTTACTTCTGATTAAAATATAGAAATAGTATATTTATGACAATATGTAAATAAAATTGAGCCTGATGCGCCTACCTGCTGTAGGCGCCGTAGGTGTTTAGGGCCCTGAAGGGCTCGAAGGCATAGTATATAGGTTCGTGGCATATATAGAAGAGTAGAAATATAACTTCTGCAGACTAAACAGAGGAAGTATGACTGTTCTATAGCCTATATAGAACAGTAGAAGTATTACTGTTCAATGGCCTATATACAAAAGTAAAAGTATGACTCTTCATAGCCCATGAAAAACAGTAAAAGTATATGACTGTTCTATGGCCTGTACAGAACAGTGTTCTATAGTCTATAAAGAACAATAGAAATATAACTTCTTTAGACTAAAGAGCATTAGTATGACCTGCCGAAGGCACCGTATGTGTTCAGTATCCTGAAGGGTTCAAAGGACGTGTTCATGGTATAACTGTTCCTATAGACTAAACAGTATTAGTATGACCTGCCGAAGGCGCCGTAGGTGTTCAGTATCCTGAAGGGTTCAAAGGACGTGTTCATGGCCTGTCGGGACGACAGGAGGTTCACCAGCACGGGCAGGCTGAGGTAGGCGAGCGCACCACACAGCGCCAGGTTCAACACGTCGCGGAACAAACCTGCATCGTAATAATATGCGTTTTAAATTACTTTTTTATTATATATACGTTATATATACTTCTAATTATATTATATACCATAAAAAATGTAAATATGAATAAATATAATTTTATATATTAAAGAATTATATACTTCTAAAGAATACAGTGTCTCCGATGTTACATATCTACAATGAATTTCTCATTTTATTTCCATATATTAAGAAAAATTAATTTTTGAATTTTTTTAATACATGAAAGAGATTTAACTTTTTTAAATATATTTGTTCTGTCAATTGATTCAAGCATTGTCTCCAATTTACGCAAGTGAGGAAAATTTCAGATCGATTGGACAGGTAGAAGTGTGTTAAATATCGATTATAAGATTTGTAGTAGACAAAAAAAACAAGAAGTGAAGTTAAAGAGAAGTGTTGTAAAAAGACTAAAATTTTGAACAAATCCCTCGAAAATAGCAATAAAAGAAAAGTCGCGATGGAGTGATGAAAAATTCATAGGAGTCGGATTCCACTAGCAGTGAGTAAATAGCGACACAGAACTTCCATATCTATTTATTTACTTAATTTGATTTGCAATTATAAATATTTCAAGGGAGTCGAGAATATAAGGAACTCGTGAAATCAACTTGCTTGACTTTTACAAGTAACAACTTCATCAACAGCCAACCGTTCATGCGAACAGGTGTACATAATTTGAACTGATATAGGTACTAAAGCTACGATAATTGTAAATGAATAATTCCAGATGTTCTAACCAGGCTGGACTTTAGCGTGGTCTCGAGCGGTCAGAATCTGGCGTTTTGCAACGGCCTTCACTTTACGCGCGCTGAAGAAACGCGCGTAAAATCTGTCATCGAAAAGCGCAAGACTTGGCACCATCGTCAGCCAGTTGAGGAAGCTCAAGTTGCCCGACATGATCAGGATAACCTGACAAGAAAATAAATTATAAATCTTAATTACTGAACGACACACGCAAACGTAAGGTAGCACAAAACCTGTGCTACCAGGAGCACACATAACAAACATACGGTAGCACAAAACGTGTAAAGAACCAACGCGATTACAGCGTTATTTTGGTCACATTTTCGTGGACGGAGAGATTGCTTTTGATAAGAGCAGGTATTTGATATTGAGTAATTATTTCAAGAAATCAATATTATTGCTTACGAGTGTCGATATTTTTACTTACGAGTATTACTGATCATTCATCCACCCCGTATCTTTATCGATTACTCATCCACCCTCCATCTTTACTGATCACTCATCCGCTCTGTACCTCCACCGATCGTTTATCCGCCATACATTTTTGCTGATCACTCATTCGCCACGCAGGGTTACCGATCGATCATTCATCATACATTTTTAGCCGATTGCTTACCCGTCATGCTTTTTTGCCGATCACTAATCCGCCCTGCAATTCTTCCGATTGTTAATCCGCCATGCATCTTTGTCGATCATTTATCCACCACACATCTTTGCCGATCACAAATCCGTCACGCATCTTAACTGATCACTCATTTGCAAGCATCTTTACGGATCATATATTCGCCAGTAATTTGAACTGATCACCCGTTCTTTTTCACCTGAAACGCAATCTGCACCACACCGGCCACGAGTTGACAACCACGGTTGCCAAATATCAGCCAAGGCGCGACCAGCTCGACCACGTGGTTGCCCAGCACCTCCAAGTTGTGCACCAGGGACGGGGTTTGGTGGAGGTAGTATGCCAGCGGGTTGGGTACTGGTTGAGTCTGGTCACAAACATTGATTGTTGAAGAAATATTGAGATCGTTGAACATGACATGGCACATCTTACTCACCCCTCACTCACACCCCGCACTCACACCCGTCACTCACACCCCTCACACACCCCCCTCACTCACACCTCTCACTCACACCCCTCACTCACACCCTCACTCACACCCCTCACTCACACCCTCACTCACACCCTCACTCACACCCTCACTCACACCCTCTTAGTGACCACAGCGTCACCATCACGCACCACTCAATTCACCCACTGCCACGATGGAGTGGTATAGTGACCACAGCGTCACCATCACGCACCACTCAATTCACCCACTGCCACGATGGAGTGGTGTAGTGACCACAGCGTCACCATCACGCACCACTCAACTCACCCACTGCCACGATGGAGTGGTATAGTGACCACAGCGTCACCATCATCAGCCAGTTGCCAGCTCCTGACACCATCACTATAGCTGCCAGGGCCGCCCCGGTGAGCGCGATGGTGTCGAGCCAAACATCCACCTGTTCGTATGTTGTAAAACCTAGAAAAACCTAGAAATTTTTAGAAAAAAAATAGAAAAAACCTAGCTAAAAAACCTAGCTTAAAAAAAACAGATATACCAAAAACCTAGAAAAAAACTAGAAAAAACTTAGCCAACCTCCCGAAAACCTCGCAGGTTCGTATGTTCACCATTGGCGAACAAAACGAAAAATTGATATAAACTTTATATTCTCAATAAACTTGCTATAGAGTGAATAAAGTTTGGGAATTTTCGTTAACAAATTGATTTAAAAATCTGATGATAATTTCAATAAACTTGCTATGTAGTGAATAAATAAAGTCTGGGATTTTTTCGTTAACAAAAATAAGGATCGTTAATGAAAATCAAATGGTCGATAACTAATAATTCGAAGAGCCAAGTTGATTTAAAAATCTGATGATATAATTTTATCATCAGATTTCTAAATCAATTTGGCTCTTCGAATTATTACTGAAACAATACAAAAAATACTGCTAAGAGGATGCATCAGACAAATACAAGGAAACATAATATACTAATCAGAACTTTATATTCCAACCAAAAATTTTAATAAAATATACTAAGGCATCCGCATATGGGATAATCAAAAGCTTCGAATTCTAACAAAATTTTATGAAAAAAATACAAAGAATTAGAAATATTATAGCAGAGATATACACATATTATATTAACTAGACATATTATAGCACAGATATTCACATATTATTTTAATTAGACATATTATAGCACAGATATACACATATTATATTAATTAAACATATTATAGGGCCAGGTCTGACCCTGTGCCATGGGTAAGCCAGCCACAGCAGCGTCGGCGCGGCAGTGAACCTCGCCCAGTAGCTCTCCCGCCTGCGCATCAGAGGCTCAGTTAAGTTCTGCCACACACTCGTGCAAATACGTGGTTTTTTGTCCAAAAGGGATCGCAGCCGTGCACCACCAATTTTGTGCACCAATAAGCCCTGAATCGAACGCCTTGGATCTCTCCGGACATCCACCAATCAGCCGTGAACCACTCGGCTTTGTCTTCCTCCGGCCTCGCATAGAACCTGCCGTGCACCACCAGGCCGCGGATCGAATATGACTTCCAGGCATCGTTAAGTTATGTAATTTTATGTTCACCGCATCTGAAGGTTTCAGATAGCATAGTTCTGTTCCAAAATTTATCGTCCTTCGACAAGTGGCCGTTCGACCGGGGGCTGGTTCGACGCACGGCCTAGATACGGACGGCTTAATTGAAGTGTTGAAGGCTACGTTCCAGAAGGCAGGAATCATGATGGTCCATTACATCAGGCTCAAGGGCAGGGGTGGTCTTCGGCAGGCGACCCGCTGAAGAACTACTTAGAAAAATGAATGGCTTGTTGTCCAAACAGCGATACTTTTTTGTCTTAATGTGAGTCATCCTGATCCAACATATGACGTTCCCTGACATTCATTCTCATTCACTGACACATTGAAGGACCCAGACTAGATTATTGGTTATCATGAATGCATTAAAATGTATATAAAGTATTGCAGTTACAAGTGGGGGTGTGTTTCTTACGAGTTGCAGACGCTGAGCAGGAAACGGCGCAGAGGCAGCAGCCCACGGTCGCCCAGAAGCTGTTTGTTCTGATGGTAGGCAACCGCGAACGCCACCACTGCCGCCGCCGGCCGAATGTGAAGGAAATGCATGTGGTAAACGTGACGTAAGTATTGTACGTTATATATGTGATGAATATACGTGGTAGAGCTGAATAATATACGTGACAGAACTGAAGAATTTACTTAGTAAGGACTGACAAATGTAAGTGGCAGAACTGAATAAATGTACGTGACAGAAACCGACGCATGTAGGGAGAACTGAAGAATGTGTGAATGACAGAACTGACGAGGAAACATGGTTGATGTGACAAATATGCGTAGGAGAAAGTTTAATCTGGGAGAGGAAATAAGGTTTTATAGTTTACGTGCGACACGGCGAGAATTGACAACTTAATTATTTCAACTAAATTATATATCTATCTTTACCAATTTCCTTGACTGACTGTATATGAAGGCAACCGCTCGCAGCAGCACGACGCGCGTCAACCAATAAGAGTCAGCCTCCAGTCCGCCGTGCCTCTGCAGCCACTGCCGGACGTCGCAGTCCGAAACCGGGAGGTCCGAGTCCGGGGAGCCTGTGCCCAAATCCGGCGGGTCGGAGTCCGTAATTGGTAGGTCGGATTCCGAAACCGATGGGTGTGTGCCCGAAACCGGTGGTTCGGAGTCCAAAATTGACAAATCGCAGTCCGAAACCGGTGGGTCGGAATCCGAAACCGGTGGGTCGGAGTCCAAAATCGGTGGGTCGGAGTCCGAAACTTGGAGGTCGGTGTTCGAAATCGGTAGCTTGGAGTCCGAAAATGGGACTTTACGAGGTGTTGATTCTCCTAGAGTTGACAGGGCAAACATAAAAGATGTTGACACTTTTACGACCACTTGTCATGAAATTGTTCGCAATTCAACTCAAACATATTTATGATTGAATTTTGCTCATATTATCAAGCGTTTGGTATCTGATGAAAACAATAATTCGCTACGGTTAAGAATTACAATTGGGCAGTAAGAGGGAGCGTGGGAATCGAAGAATCTATGTTAATTAAGACACCATCGAATTGTTTAAGCACACAAAGTTATATAGAAGCATTGATATTTCTCAATTTGAGAAATAGTGCATCTCAGGAGTCAAATACAATCCAGTCAATGAAAACTCAACTGACAAGGCACCTAAAATGGTTGCCTGTATAAAAAATGTCCAATGTCGCACTAGAGAAGTAATTAATTCGGGAAAAATAGTGGTCTTTAGAACAAATGAGAGGATTTTAGAACAAATGAAAGGTTATTAGAACAAACGAGTGAATTTTAGAGCAAAAGGGATGTGTTAAGATGAAAAACGAAGTTTGAGACCAAAACAACAACTGATGGCGGTGTAAGCAATTGTGTTTTTATGCAAAAAATCACTACATTCAGACTAAAGCAGGAATCCTTACTTATTCTTCGGGAGAAACCTGGAGCTCCTCCGGTTCCTTGTTCACCTGCGCCTTCACCTTCGCCGCCTCCTTCAGAAATATCTTCACGGGTCTCCATGACGACACGATCATTTGAACGATCATAAACTCCTGCATTTGATCTTTTATTATGATCTTCATTTGATCTTTCAGTATAGTGAATGCTCTGGTCGCACTCTTCGCTGCTGTCGCGTTCGTCAGAGCGTTCGGATTTACGGCGAACGCCGTCTGTACGCCGGCGAACTTCCATACTAAATGATGCAAACCACGTGAATGAATGAAATTTTCAATGTTTAATGAGAATTGTACTTCTGGAAATTTAATTTAGGCTGATTACTGATTATATATGCAATTGTATTTAGATAAGTCTGACGTGCATATTAACGTCTGGCGAGATCTCACTGCACTAAATTCGCTTGTGAGCTTAAAGCGATTCATTTAATTAGCAACGTCGGTGCAGAGCCGCCAATGCGGGAAAACTTTACTTTTCAAACACAAAAAAATACTATTTAAATTAATTATATGGTTTCCCTCAAACCTTCACAGTGACATAGAACATCAGCATTCGTATAATGATATCTGATAGCTGAAGCAATAATATTGAACATCAGTAGACTTTTATTGGCTCCATCAACAACATCAAGACCTCGTACACTGCACAGTATATAGCGTACAGTGATGTCCGTACACAGTACAATGCACAGTAGCAACTTTACACTACACAGTGTACACTACAATATGGAGCCAATACACTAGACATTGCAGAGTAGGGCCTGTACACTACACAGTGTACACTACAATATGGAGCCAATACACTGGACAGTGCAGAGTAGGGCCTGTACACTACATAGTGTACACCACAATATGGAGCCAATACACTGGACATTGCAGAGTAGGGCCTGTACACTACATAGTGTACACCACAATATGGAGCCAATACACTGGACAGTGCAGAGTATAGGGCCTGTACACTACATAGTGTACACCACAATATGGAGCCAATACACTGGACAGTGCAGAGTAGGGCCTGTACACTACACAGTGTGTAGAGAGCTGAGGTCATTTTTGATAACCTCATAGCGGCAACTTGGTGATGCGCGGACAAACAAAGGGGGTGGATCTGCCATATTTCGGAAAAGCAGCAGCGATGTTAATGGTTACATTCTTCAAAGCCCTTGGGCTATATCTGTTCTAAATCACGGCTGCCAGCCTTGACCTCTGCCAGCCTTGGCCTCTGCCAGCCTTGGCCTCTGCCAGCCTTGGCCTCTGCCAGCCTTGGCCTCTGCCAGCCTTGGTCTCTGCCAGCCTTGGCCTCTGCCAGCCTTCGCCTCAGCCAGCCTTGGCCTCTGCCAGCCTTGGCCTCTGTTAGCTGTTTTACTGGCAGAGGCACCTGGAACTATACTCACGGGAGAGGTGGAAGGAGAGGTACATATAATGGAGGATGATCACCGGACTAGACAATAATTTTGAAAGCGAAACTTGGAGCATAGTGACACTTCACAAAGAGAAAATGGATACCTATTCCTCAGGCAGGCAATGTGCAGGATACCAGCTTCGAACAACAGAGCTGGGGTCAGAATTCAGACCCTTCGAGAGGGATCTCCATCCGTGGCAGGACATAGGCTGTTCAACGTCTTGCAGAAGAAGTTGAGAGGAGCGGCGTGTCCGCCCTTTAGACTAGCAATTGACGACTGGATACGAGCTGATCGTCTGTTTCAGCTTAGTGCCGTCAGCGCAACCGTGGACGTATACCAAACCTGAGGCTGAGGAATGACGGATAACAAAGGCGGCGCATCAGCGTTGCCTTGGAAGCAGACGACCAAACCTTCATACGAGGACATGAGGCTGAAGTATGATGGACGACGAAGGCGGTGCATCAGCGTGACTGTGGATGCAAACGACCAAACCTTCACAGATAACATGAGGCTGAGGGATGGTGGACGACGAAGGCGGTGCATCAGCATGGCCGTAGACGCGATCGACCAAACCTTCACAGATAACATGAGGCTGAAGGACGGTGGACGATGAAGGCGATGCATCAGCATGACCGTGCATGGACGCGGACGACTTAAACTTCTCATAAGATGTGCTGCACATCTCGTGTCCATGCACACCGCGCAAGGCAATATTTACGTGCCATTAATTTCAGCGCAAAGTTCGCGGTTGCATCACTGGGCGACCGGGGGAATGTGTTCTCCCCTAACGATCAGGGGCCATACTTTCAAAATTCGCTAAGTGAACGTAAGAACTTGCGCTCTATTTTCTTGTCTATGATTGGTGGATTTTGCTTGAAAGGCCAACAATGATTGGCTGATGAACTTACGATCTCTTAACTTTTTTGAAAGTATTGGCCCAGGTTGTTTGCCCTGCGGTTTACCGAATTAATAAATTAATTTCATTTAAACGTAAATTCATTCAACTTTTGTGCTTGCATCAACAATGATCATAGGAACAACGAACCTGTGATTAAAACAAAGTGGCCAGTATATTTGATGCAAAACATATATAATTCTTTGATGAATACTTATTCATTCTTTGATGAGTTGTATACATTATACCTATACGTATAATGTATACAATGGTATTCAATAATTGACTGATATGTCATTCAAATTTTGTGATGAGAACAATTAATTAGATGAAAATGTTCTGGAATACGATCTATTATTGAGTCTAACTCCAAAATTTTATGGGTGCGTATGGCGTTTAAAAAAAACGCAATTTTTTTTGGGTGCGTAAAAAGCGTTTAAAAAGTCCATGGAAATACGATTACCTATTCGATCACAAAATAAATCGATGAAAATAAATTAAATAATAGAATAACATATAAATAAATAACAGTTTCGGGATAAATACAACTTTTCCACAATCCATGCGGTGGAGTAAACAGATGTCACGTGGTCGCCTGAAGAGCATTTTAAAAAATTTTAATCGACGGATATTCAGCCGTGTTTATGGTCGCTTCTGGCGGAACTTCAGTATCCTGGATTTAGAATTTCAACTTTGAAAATCCTCTTAAAAATCACAAGATCTTATTGTTTAATTTTAATGAAAAATAAATAAAAAGATAAATTCTAATTGCTTGTTGCGACTCTAATGAATTATTTACTGCGCTGTATTAAAAAAAAATAGATCAGTACTCACTGCAGTGAGTGAAAGAGAGCGCAAAACGTGAAGTCACGGACGGACGGACGGACGGACATGACGAGCACAATAGCGCCTTTTTTTGCATAAATGATAAATTGCACTAAAAACAAAACGGTTCATAACCGCGTTTTCGTTATGCCCATTTTTTCCGGGTAGGTTCGTCTACAAAAAATCATTCAGGATTTTCCGGTCAAAAAAAAATTAAAAGAGACTAGATTTCCACTCCCTGAGAAGAAAAATAACATATAATTAAGGGAAATACAAGCACAGTAACAGGAAAACACGATTCATTATCTCAGTTTATCGAGAAAACATAATAGATGTTTGCAAATAAGCGATATATACATAATTTATACCTGGCTTCTATGATATAACTGTTCGGTAATATTTTGATTACTGCAGATCTGTTCAAGATATCGTCATTATCTGAACCCAATACTTAAAAAAATAATAATCTCAAACATACAAACAACTAACATGATTGTGTGCATATCAAAGTGACACTCAAAATCAAATTTCAGATGGTAATTAATCAAAAATGCTCGAATGAATTCCAAAAGGTTCCAGATAAAAATTCGTATAAGACAAAATACCTCCAAATTTACAGAAACGTCATTTAATCGAACGCTACGAGCAAGCAGCCACATACTTCGTTATTTTCTCTTCCATTACTTGCTTTCCATTGGAATTCATTAAATAATAACCACATTTAGTTACCATGCGTGATGCATCAAGACTTAGAATCCCTCGTATAAGCCCTTAGTATCCTTAGTATCCTTAGTATTTGTTTGGGACACAACAGTCCCAGGCCACGATGGATCGCCGCCTCTGATTATCGTTCATCCGCCCTCATTTGGGCCACCTGATGCACGATGCTGTTGCTTGCTTCTCGCCGCTGGTAGTGTTGCAGGGTCAATCGTTACCTGCACTCAATTTTTAATGGCAGTTCTCAGTTTTTCAATCAATTGTTACTTGCACTCAATTTTTTACTGACTTTACTTAATTCCAGACTATTCACTGGAACACTTCAGTACAGAATGCAATAACACAGTTGAACCGGCAAAATTAAATGTAACCGGCGGACCGCGCGCGACACCAAACGTCCGTTCGCCACGCTGCCACAAGCAACACAACACAAGCCCTGAACCTATGCCAGAGCCTGACGACAAACCATCCTTCAGTGTCTCCTTCATGATCCTTCCAAACTCCTAGCCTCCTTTTCCTAGCGTCTATTTCAGCCTTCTTTATCTTATCATAAAGTTTATAATAAGCTGGAGACAGCATGGACATTTCACGTCCAGATTTGTCGTCAACCCGCACGAGGGCGGCGCCAGCGAGCGGTGCACGGAATCGTGCGGCGGCAGTGCGCTGCCAGCGCTCCATGAGAGAGGGTGTGTGTCGCGCTAGCTGCTCGATGCTGGCGGCGTCCGGCACCAATGAAATTATTCCAGTCCCTCTGCGTACGATGTCTTCGTTGATGGTGCGTATGTTACTGAAACCAAACTACCACAAGGAAAAATTTGTTAATAAAATTTATTTACTATTTCCAAATAATGATATTAGCGACTCGTAATGGCGGTAATGCATCATCGTAGTATCACTCCCGCCTCCGGAAACCTATATATGTGATGTAACTCATTGTAAAATATCTAAGCAAGTGCCATGCCTGCTCTGCTAGTTAAGGCAATATATTATATATGTAATATATTAATATATAATATTCAACAAGTGCACTGTACAGTATTATTATTATGTTATAATAATAAATTATTTATGATGATATATGAGTGCTGCCTGCACCACACTCGCTGTGGTGACTGACCGTGGTGAGTGTGATGCTGCAGACCATGACCCTGGGTGCAGCCTGCACGTAGTATGGTGTGAACCACACGCGCTGGTGCAGCAGACGCGCACCACAGTCTGCTGCTGCAGCGGCCGTCACCTGGGCAACCGCGTGTTGTATAGCGTTAGGTATACTATAGCGGTATACCTTATAAGCCATAATTCAATACGTTATAAGCTATACTTGCATACGTTATGAGTTATAATTGTATACGTTATGAGGTATAATTGTATACGTTATGAGGTATAATTGTATACGTTATGAGGTATAATTGTATACGTTATGAGGTATAATTGTATACGTTATGAGTTATAATTGTATACGTTATGAGGTATATAATTATATACGGTATGGGTTATAATTGCATATGTTATATGTTATAATTGTATACGTTATAAGGGATACACTATACGTTATATCCTAAATGAGGCGACAGTGTCACAAGAACTACGACAAGCTTAAACTTAAACCAAACGAAGGTAAGCGAACTGAGTATTTAAATCAACTATCATTAACTATCATCTTCAATTATCATTAACAATCATTATGAACGATACGAGCGTTCACATCATAAACGCCGTGACAATATATGAACTATTTCAAGACGACAAACTTAAAATTCGATCTTCTATTGAAATTGAAAAAATCTATTCTTCGATTAAAACTAAATAAAAATTTGATCTTCTTCAACCACTCTTTCAGTCAAGCGCCAGTCTTGTAACTAAGATCTATATTGCAAAAAAATTATAATAAAATTATGTACATAGCACAATTGCAAATTTTCTCTGTAAATCACTTATTTTGAAATCGTATTTGCATAAAATTTAATAGTTTTATATTTTTCAGACGCATATACCAAATAACAAGTAAGGTGAGGTATGGTGGGCAGCGGTGGTGAGGTATGGTCAGAGGTGTAGATATATACACTAAATAAAGATTAATTAACCAAACGATCTCAACATTAATTCATACAGTCCCTAACAAAAAATCTAGTTATTGAAACTAATTTTAATTAGTAAAAATAAATAACTATTAAAAAAATTAATCACCTCAACTGCGGCGAGGCTGACCGGCAGCAGGTGACTTGGCAGCTGCAGCGGCACACGTATAACTGGCAGGTGCTGCACCTGCAACATGTGCACTGTACAGCCAAATGACGTTGCAGAAACCTGGCAGATGGCAGACATGTACCTTGTACAGCCCCCAGTTATACTGTACAGATCCGCAGTCAGATTTCAATCCCTGCGGGAAGGATCACTTTAAGTGGCAGGGCCAAGGCTGTTCAACGTCCTACCAAAGGATCTAAGAGAGGGGGAGTTCACCCTAGAGACCTTCAAGAGACAACTGGACATTTTCCTGGGCACAATCCCAGATCGACCTCCCCTGCAACACTACCAGCGGCGAGAAGCAAGCAACAGCATCGTGCATCAGGTGGCCCAAATGAAGGCGGATGAACGATAATCAGAGGCGACGATCCATCGTGGCCTGGGACTGCTATGTCCCAAACAAGTACCAAGATTACCAAGATTACCAAGTGTACATCCCTGATCACGCATAAGATACACGTCCGAGGTTGCGCTCATGAAATTGAACTCACAATATTGAGTTCAACCCGATCCTCTACCTAAGGATCGGGTTTCGTTGACTAAGGTAGTGAGGGATAAGTAAGACACATAAGTCCAGATAACGTATCTTGTATACGGGGTGGTAATACAGAGTTGCGATACAGGGGCCGGATTATCAAAACTTAGTAACTTTTTGTACTTACGACAAAAAAGTTATGTGTTACGTAATTACACCCTAATTTTGGTATTATCAAAACTTTCGTACGCAAGTCTTAGCTAAAAGCGTAAATGTTTTTCCCGCGCAAATGTTTCCCGCTCAAATGTTTTGATAATACCACCGCTAGTATTACGCTGTCATAGCGGTGTTACGAGTGACAACTTACGTTGTCACTCGTAAGTCGATTTTGCGTACTTACGAAGTTTTGATTATACGGCCCCAGAGGTATAAGCTACGGCATCGACCGTAAGGTCGGAGAACTCTACCGACACGCTACATCGCAGAGTGCTCATCAGGTACTGGAGGGTTTGCTTAAGGTTGCTAGACCTTTTATAACGTTCGCTTCCGCCCACTTCTGAGGTCTTGATCGCGTGATCTATCACGTGTCTATCAGATGTTGACTCGTCCTCAATCTCTATCAGGTCAAGTGAATTGACACCGGACATACACCACAGAAAAGTACAGCGTAACCCTGCCACTCCTTCCTTCCCTAACCAGAAAGAAAATCTCCCCCCGTCTCACCAGAAGGTACAGAGGGTACAGCTCCTCCTGACGCCCTCCGTCAGCCAGTCCCCCTCCCCTCGCGTGGGCCGTGGCATCGTGGCCCCCGGGCTGGGGTTGACAGGAAAGACGCTCTGATCCTGTAGGAGATGAAGCGTCTGTAAAAGGCGTAGGAGATGTGTAAGTATTAAAGTAAGTAATAGGAGAAGCAGAGGTAGACCCAGGATAGAATATAGGCTCAGCAGATGGAAACTTTGATTCGGTTACAAAAGTTCCTGGCTTAGAAATGGAAACAAACTTTTGGTTTGAATTTAACGGAAGTTGGGCAAACTTTGTGTTGGAAACGAAAACCAGGAGAGGCACCTGCGTCAGCTGCGATTGCATCTGCAGTAAACCTTGGAGCAACAGATGCTGCACCTGAACCGTCCAGCGAAGTCCTGAGATGAACCAAACCACCAGTTTTTGCCTCTTGAAGGACTCCTGAAGAGTTCGGTTCAGGACCAGACGCAGTCGAAACGATATCGCCTGCGTCTTCAGCTGTGTGTCCTGAAATTGTTGATATATTTCAGTGTCAAACAGCGATAAGCGATTCAATATCTGGAATTTCTCTTCTCTGTCATATTTATCAGGTATTTTTGCTCATAATTGTGTTCATAATATAGGAAGCCAGTAAGTCATACAACAACACTGTACCTAACTGACTGATATAACTACACTGTAACTGGCTGATATAATGCGAAGAAAATGTATGCAATAAAATAACTAATATAAGCTATGCCACGACTTCCAAGCTTTAAATCATAAAATTTAACTTCAAAACGTCCACTAGACCTTCAACGGTTGAACCAGCAATGCCGGTTAAGTCTGCGGTTACAGATGGTATTTTTTCCACCCGTTTGACCGGCTGGGAAGCGGCTGCAATTGAAAGGGAAGTTGGCGGTTGAGTTCCAACCCATCGCACGACTCCCCTCAACCGGACGTTCTTGTGGATGAATTCAACCGGCACGTCATCTAGCCGGTTGAAGCGGGTGAACTGGCAAGGGTTGCAATAAACGTTAGTGAAATGGGTTGCTACAATGCAATACATAGATTTCGGTTACATATGACACATAATTGTAATATAGTTATGAAACGGAAATCAATTACATATGTTTAGCACTAACTATTGAATATGAACTATCTATAACAACGGAAGTTTCAACTTTAGAGGTCACAGGAGGAACTTAGTTAAATACAAGCCCATTACGATGATCAAAAACTCCGGGCACTGTATAGACATGTAACGTATTTGCGATACCTTCCTCATAAATACAAGTCGTATTTGCGATACCTTCCTTATAAATACAAGTCGTATATGCGATACCTTCCTTATAAATACAAGTCGTATTTGCGATACCTTCCTTATAAATACAAGTCGTATTTGCGATACCTTCCTTATAAATACAAGTCGTATTTGCGATACCTTCCTTAGTACTGAATGCGTAACTCCAGGACAAGCTTAATATTATGCCTCGGTGTTCCTCTGTTGCTCCAAATTTCAAAAATAAATTATTTTAGCATAACCCAACTATCGTCTAAACAACGGTCATCTGAAAATATAATAATTACTCTGTTATTAAACCTAGGAAACGGCAGTTGGTACTAAATGTTCTTTGTCAGCACCCGTTCACAGATGTACAAATTAAAATATATATAGTGACGTACTGACGCAAGCGTTATTTAGAGGGAAATATTAAGGTCTGAGCGTCACTCAACAGTTAGTCAATTGGAGTAGACTGAGTTGACAGAGTAGACTGAGGTGACAGAGTAGACTGAGGTGACAGAGTAGACTGAGGTGACAGAGTAGACTGAGGTGACAGAGTAGACTGAGGTGACAGAGTAGACTGAGAAGACAGAGTAGACTGCGTTTACGGAGTAGACTCAGGTGACAGAGTAGACTTAGGTGAAAGAGTAGACTTAGGTGAAAGAGTAGACTGAGGTGACAGAGTAGACTGAGGTGACAGAGTAGACTGAGTTGTCAGAGCAGATTGAGTTGTCAGAGTAGATTGAGTTGTCAGAGTAGATTGAGTTGCCAGAGTAGATTGAGTTGTCAGAGTAGATTGAGTTGTCAGAGAAGATTGAGTTGCCAGAGTAGATTGAGTTGGCAGAGTAGACATAGTAGACAGAGTAGACAGAGTTGACTGAGTTGACAGAGTTGACAGAGCAAACAGAGTAGACAGAGTTGACAGAGTAGACAGAGTTGACAGAGTTGACAGAGTTGACAGAGTAGATAGAGTAGACAGAGTTGACTGAGTTGGCAGAGTAGACTGAGGTAACAGAGTAGACTGAGGTGACAGAGTAGACTGCATTTACGGAGTAGACTCAGGTGACAGAGTAGACAGAGTTGGCAGAGTTGACGAAGTAGACAGAGTAGACAGAGTTGACAGAGTAGACAGAGTTGACAGAGTTGACGGAGTAGACAGAGTAGACAGAGTTGACAGAGTAGACAGAGTAGACAGAGTAGACGGAGTAGACAGAGTTGACTGAATTGACAGAGTAGACATATTGGCAGAGTTGAGAGTAGACAGAGTTGACAGAGTAGACGGAGTAGACAGAGTTGACTGAGTTGACAGAGTAGACAGAGTTGACAGAATTGAGAGTAGACAGAGTAGACGGAGTAGACAGAGTTGACAGAGTAGACAGAGTTGACTAAGTTGACAGAGTTGACAGAATAGACAGTGTCTACAGAATAGACAGTGTTGACAGAATAGACAGAGTAGACAGAGTTGACTGAATTGACAGAGTTGACAGAGTAGACAGAATTGACAGAGTAGACAGAAATGACTGAGTTGACAGAGTAGACAGAGTTGACTGAGTTGACAGAGTAGACAGAGTTGACTGAGTAGACAGAGTAGACTGAGTTGGCAGAGTAGACAGAGTTGACTGAGTTGACAGAGTTGACTGAATTGACAGAGTTGACAGAGTAGACAGAGTAGACAGAGTAGACTGAGTTGACAGAGTAGACAGAGTTGACAGAGTAGACAGAGTTGACAGAGTAGACAGAGTTGACAGAGTTGACAGAGTTGACAGAGTTGACAGAGTTGACAGAGTTGACAGAGTAGACAGAGTTGATCAGACAGAGTAGACAGAGTAGAGAGTAGACAGAGTTGACAAAGTAGACTGAGTTGACAGAGTTGACAGAGTAGACAGAGTTGACAGAGTTTATCAGACAGAGTAGACAGAGTAGACAGAGTTGACAGAGTTGATCAGACAGAGTAGACAGAGTAGACAGAGTAGACAGAGTTGACAGAGTAGACAGAGTAGACAGAGTAGACAGAGTTGACTGAGTTGACAGAGTTGACAGAGTTGACTCACCGCCCTGACGCTCAGCAAGACGCGCAGGAGGCCCGCTGCGGCGACCACGTATGTCGCTCCCTGGACATCAGTTAACATCAATTAACATCATCATTTAACATCAGTGCAAATCAGCGAACATAATAAAAAACATCGCTGAAATTGCTAATTTTATCAGTAAACATAAGTAAACATCAGCGAACATCAAGAAACACCAGGGAACAACAATGAACATAAGGAAACATCAGTATAAGTTCTAATAGTATCACAGTAAACATCAGTAAATATCCGTAAACATCAGTAATTATCCGTAAACATCAGTAATTATCCGTAAACATCAGTAACTATCCATAAACATAAGTAACTATCCGTAAACATCAGTAACTATCCGTAAACATCAGTAACTATCCGTAAACATCAGTAAATATCCGTAAACATCAGTAAATATCCGTAAACATCACCAAACATCAGTCAACAAAGCAGATGAAGTACATTCACACAATTTTCAATGAAAAATTGTTGTCGTTATTTGGCACTTTTTTTTTGCTTTTTGATTTTTGATTACTTTTGCGATGTAAGCAAACGAGTGATATAAATTAGGCTTTAATTAACATCTTTCATAAAATTGATAATCAAATAAGCATTTCACACTCATATAAATAATTATTAATGTATGTAATGTCTGTATATGTATATGTATATGTATGATGCATGCTGGAAAAACACGGAGAAAACGATCGCAAAGCTTGTCAATATTATGCATGAAGTTAGGAGTAAATAGTGCGCAAATTTCTATATTCCATACTAAATAGATTTTCAAACACAATTTCATTTATAGGCTTTGAGAAAAAAAAACAATAAAAAATATATGGATCATATTGTCCAAATGGTGCACGAGTATAGAGCGGAAGTGTAGTTAGGTAAAGAGGCTGATACGCCTCTCTTCCGGTCCTATATAGGTCAGGATGACCCACACAGGAGTAAAAAGAAAATCGCTTTTTGGACAAATTCTCACACATTTCCAGGAGTGCGAGCTCGGCGAGGAAAATTGCGGAACATAAGCGGCGCGGCTGAAGGATTAGAATTGAGACGTGAGCTTCCACGTCGAGGTTAAGTCATCGTAATATTTACGCCTTGGTTAAGTTATTGTAATATTTACGCCTAGGAAGTTATTGTAATATATACGCCTAGGTTAAGTCAATGTAATATTTACGCCTAGGTTAAGTCATCGTAATATTTACGCCTAGGTTAAGTCAATGTAATATTTACGCCTAGGTTAAGTCATCGTAATATTTACGCCTAGGTTAAGTCATCGTAATATTTACGCCTAGGTTAAGTCATCGTAATATATACGCCTAGGTTAAGTTATTGTAATATATAAGCCTAGGTTAAATCATGGTGCTATGAACGGCTTTATGCTATCAAGATAAAAGTTCGTTGACATTTTAGACGTAAGACGTTTGAGAAGATGTTAACCATCACGCCATGGGACGCACATAAAGGCTAAGTTGAAGACACAGCCGCCATATTGAATTGTGAGCTACAAAGGCTACGTGGTTGTCTGCGCTGCGATGAGCTTATCAGTGCCTTATCAGCGCCTAATCAGCACCTGATCAGCGCCTGATAATGCGATAAGGAGGATGTGGGTTGCCCACACATTACTTAGTCAGTTGCGCGCAAGAGCATTCGCTTACGTGACGTGTAGACGACTGATGACCAATGCTGAAATACGATAAATTAAAATCTATATCTACTAAGCGGACTATTGGAATTAGCTTGATACGAATTACATGCAACGAGGCAGATAATTGAAAATAACGATAACAAAGTTTCCACTCGCTTTAAAATATAAAAGACTATTACAGCGTTTTTTTAGTCCTAACGTAACGATTTTTTTCCTGTGCCTTGTGATCTCTTTAACTTTCTTAAAAATCTGGTTAATTTTCATATCGAAAAATGGTATTATTTACTTACTAACAACCAAGATTAATCTAAATTAATCAAATATCATGTCTTAATCGAAATTCAAGATGGCGCTCAGCGGCATGATGCGCCGCGCGTGACATTCCAGTTATCCTGGGGGAAAACAATCCCACATCGTGAGGCAAACAATCCCTCATCGTAAGGCAAACAATCCCTCATCGTGAGGCAAACAATCCCACATCGTGAGGCAAACAATCCCTCATCGTGAGGCAAACAATCCCTCGTCGTGAGGCAAACAATCCCTCATCTGTCTCTTATACACATCTAGATGTGTATAAGAGACAGATCTATTATCGTCACTCATTCTGTCCATCATCGTCACTTATTCAATCCATCATCGTCACTCATTCTGTCCATCATCATCACTCATTCAATCTATTATCGTCACTCATTCTGTCCATCATCGTCACTTATTCAATCCATCATCGTCACTTATTCAATCCATCATCGTCACTCATTCATTCTATTATCGTCACTCATTCTGTCCATCATCGTCACTTATTCAATCCATCATCGTCACTCATTCTGCCCATCATCGTAACTCATTCCGTCCATCATCGTCACTCATTCAATCTATTATCGTCACTCATTCCGTCCATCATCGTCACTCATTCCGTCCATCATCGTCACGCATTCTGTCCATCATCGTCACGCATTCTGTCCATCATCACAGTGATACCGTACACGGAGCGATGCTAGCAAGGAGTGATGCAGGCATTACAGCCGCTGTTCTGATGATGGTCGATGCAACGGTCGTAATTAGGGTGAATTTATTCTATCCAACGTATATAATTAATGAAGTAATTTATTCAAATATCGAGTAAACTGTACGCGAATCCAAGTACATAAGTATTAAGTAAAAATAATATGAAAATGTGGGAAAATAAGAGAATAAGAAATATGAATGCGAGGGAATAAAGCGAGGGCTGCATACAATGAGAGGGAAGTGAGGGTCAGTTCTCTCCCTCAGCGTGACGTCATGAGTGCGGGGGGCGGAGCGTCGTGGTGTTCGCAGCTGCGCAAAGCAAGCGACCTACCGCCACTCTATTGATCCGCACCATCCCCATGGCAACCACCACGCACCCTTCATCAACCAACCGCCTATACCACCACCAAATTCAATCACACCAATATATTCATAATGAAAAATATGTACATATTGTCTTGAGAATGTAACGTGTTATCGATATTCGGATTTAAAAGCAGAAACTTCCAGAAATAAAAGGAAATCAATAACATTTCCTGGACTCGCTCATTATTTCTGCATCATTTTTCTTATTTGGTTGATTAATTTCTCCGTTTAGTTGAAATTTAATTTAAATAAATACATTTATTAGAGAACCGCTTACGTCGAGCCTTGAATTTAGAATAATTCTCTGGACATTCTTTATTTGAAGTGAATGACTGACAATGCCCAGAGCTGCAGCCCTCGTAACCTAAATGGCTAGTTGGCACCCCTAGCATCGCGCGACGACATGGGCACTGGGAACTTGCGATGGGAAGCAGCTTTCGAAAGAGTCAAACGGTATTATATTGGGGTATTATATTATATAAAAACGGTATTATATTTCGGTATTATATTGGGGTTTTTGAACGCAGATGTTACTCTCAAAATTAATTCAATCGTCAAAATTTAAGCAATAATTTTATATGGTTTTCCCTTTCTTGTAATTGGCAAGCCAAGATTCCAGGAAAGGATGACGAGATTGTAATTTCTTACATTAATTAATTAAGTCAGAGCGACGGTTAAATGTGTGTCTTCTACAGTAAGTCTAAGCTCCAATTACCATTAACAGCTTGCAGCATCAATATAGTGCAAGTAAATGAAATAAAAAAAGAACAACTCAGACAGTAAAATAGTGTAACCTGCCAACACTCACATCTGACCTAGAGCAGAATTGCAACACTAGTGCTCAACCCAAGTGTTCACACACTCATACGTCAGAGTTTATCAGTCAAAGCCATCAGTCGAATTATACTCCTGATAATTTCTCTACGTGTTAATAATATCATAAGCAAGATCGCTGGCGCCCCAATCAATAAGAGGGTGAATTTCAAAGCCCTTCGTCCGTTGCTGGGTTCGAGTTCGTAGTTTCGTGAATCGAGAAGCAACGAGTCAACGGCAGTGCGGGGCTGGACAGCGTAGAAGTAGGGTGTGCGCGCCTCTTCTTCTCACTCCAGCCATACACATTGCTTGTGACCTGCAGTAAGTTAATGATATGCTTACCTGAATAATTCGTAGATTGTCGTCGATGAAATGCGTGACGTTAGTGAAGTGTTGGTGCAAACGTTGCCGTAATCCCTGTGTTCGCGCATCCCGCTCGTCAGTTGGCGTCATCGTATTGATCCACACGTGTGACGAACGTTCGTGTTTCAACGTCAGTAGCGACTTGGGACTAATTAACTTGAATCATCGAGCTTTCTATGCAAGTTGAAATCAATGTCCCCCCGCAGTTTAAATGGTCTCGTTGATTAACCTGAAAATATACGATGATTTACATCAATAAACGTTTCCGTCTTACGTAGCGAGAAATGTTTCCAAAGAAATCACATTCGAACGAGTTGAGATTCAAGATTTTCTGTGCGCGCTGGTTGACATTTGAGGCATAACTGAAGCATTTTTAGGTTGTATGTTGTGGCCATGCAGGCATTACCCGCATCCTTATTATTATTACCTTATATACTGATGAAAATACATGATAAATTGCACGACTCGCACAGATCACTAGGTATTTTTGTAAAGAATTGTACACTAAACGTAACCTAGTAAAGAAGCAGCCACTTTTTAGTTAATAATTTAAAATTTTGGCTAATATTGATCATAATTCATGGAATAACAATACAGGACTGAAACACATGCAAGCAGTGCCAAGCACCCGCGGATTCGACGTCGAACTGCAATATTTGCAGGTTTTCAGCTTGGCTCAGTGCTTCTTAAACATCATTTTTTGCAATATTTAATATGAAACGCTGGCATGTTATCCACTTTAAATGTGAATTCGTTCTCTTGTAGTCTCTCTCATTAACGCTTTATCATGAATATACTGTACGTTGCTAAAATGAGTGAAATCTATCACCCCCACCCAATTACCCTCGAGAGTGATATACAGGCATGTATATACCCCATCACCCCCTCCCAATTACCCTAGAGAATGATATACCCAGCAATTAGTTACCCAGATTTATTTTAGAAAAAGTGAACTATACACACTTTATATTTTAAGGTGTGTTTAAAATTATACAGAGTGAAATAATCCTAGGCGGCTAGGCAGGATACAAAGAATACCAATGATCCTTCAAGCATATGACAGATGGGTGTTGTGACCATATGACAGATGGGTGTTGTGACCATATAACAGATGGGTGTTGTGACCATATGACAGATGGTGTTGTGACCATATGACAGATGGTGTTGTGGCCATATGACAGATGGGTGTTACGGTTACATGCAGGACAGATAAGAAATATTCAATAGTCGTTCAAAATAATCGTCACAAATACCAAGCAGTATCACTAATTACTCACAATATAATGTAATTAATTCACTAACTTTTAATCTACCTATGGTAAAGCTGAGGCCAGAGCTCGACACAGACCCTAGCTGTTCCCGTGCGTATTGTTTTAATTAAATAAATTGGCTGCTGCCTAATTAACTCAATTAAATATTATCGTTGACATCAATTGTTCGTCCAAGATATTTGGTTTGGCTGCTTCACTATTGAATAAATATTTATCGATGGTAATATATAATGGTTATGCACTTATGCTCTAGAGTCTAGAGCAACAGCCTGCATTCAGTTAACAATTTGTTTACGAATAGAATATCTGCCGTCAATACTATTTGTATGTTGGAACCTGCTACTCTAGTTCCGATAGTAAACAACAGGATTAATTAGAATGTTTTTTTATTAATGATGTATTCTATAATAAACTCTATCCTACAACTAGATATTCCTAACGTTGTTGTGGACTGAAAATATCCCGTGTTACAGGTCGTGCTACAGCAGAACCGCCCACTTGAAGTCCACCTAACTCAGCTATAAGTACTCGGTCAAGTCCTGATGTTGACAAGGTTCTTCCCCGTCCAGAACCTCACTTCGAGCTCAAGAACTGGTAAAATGTCAAGCTTCTTCTCACTAACACTTCAAACGAAGCGTCTGATATGAAAAACTAACACATAATTTTATTGCATCCAAACTCGCGAGTAGCGAACCGAACTTCTGCTCTGCTTGACCACTAACGCCTTCACCAACCAATTCGATCAGCTTTATTTGAAGGCAATAGAAAAATGATTATTTGATTATTGACACGCATTGCAAAAAAAACTTATTACAAAATTTACATCAATGGATCGTGGCTGAAAAACTTGTATATATAACAAAACTAACGATTGCCCGATTGACTTCTGCACGCGCTTGCGACGCTTGCTCGCTACTACCACAAGTAACTAACTTTGTATTATTTGCTCGTCAATGTTTAACTAACTCACTAAAATTCATACTGCCTGATAACCAACCATTATCCTTCGAATGCACGAGGCTATGACGTTTTTATAGTTATGAAGATGCAGTGAACTTAATCGAAATCGGCACTGAATTGAAAAGCGAAGTCAGAAGTGGCTTCCAATACTTCAGTCTAAATGAGCTGTGCGAGGTCAAAGCTCCAAGTGCAGGCAATATAAAAGCTATAAATAAAAAGAAACTAGTATCTATTTTATTGTAAATTTTAAATTGTCGTGAAACTAGTCAGTTTGATAAAGAAATATGTCTAACAGTGAAACTGTGCCATCACGAGTGTCTAGTCTGTAAAACTATTTATGCAATTAGTGATGAAAACAAACAAGAATGTTGCATTTGAATAAGTAAACGTAGGTTTATGTGTGCAATCAAAACTGATTCATAAAATTCCATCTGTTGTCGAAACAAAACCAAAATCATCGGAAACACGACTTTTGACCAAAAAATAAATGGCGTTTAGCTAAAGAATTGCAACGAAGCGTCTCGATCAGATAAAAAAAATCAGTAAAAACCCTGCAGCTAATGTGAACAAATTGAGACGGACAAATCCCAGCGTTGATAATTGATCGTAGAAATGAGCGAATTTTCGATCGAGTGCGCGGTGTGCGCGATCAGATTCTCAGAGGAGGCGCTGTACGAGCAGCACGACTGCCACGGCCACGACGTGCCTCTTGCCATCAAACTCGAGGCCCCGGATGACGAGGAGGACGAGGAGAGAGACGTTAAACCTGTGCTCAACAGCGCCGGTCAGGTTGTGGATTCTTCTGCACTTGTTACGATCTCCGTTACTGACGGTACTAGCAAAGTTACAGACGGTACGAGGACCGTTACAGACGGTACGAGCTCCGTTACATGCGGTACGAGCTCCGTTACATACGGTACGAGCTCCGTTACATATGGTACGAGCACCGTTACAGGCGGTACGAGCGGCGTTCCTGGACCTATAGCATCAACCACAAGTGTTCCTAACAAACTCCCGCCTACACTTGAGAAATTCAGGATGCGACTTGCGTTGGGAACGAATAAGCAAAGGAAACCTAAAAAGAAACCTAAGGGTAATGCAAAACTTACTAATAATAAGTCTAGCTCGTCTAAAATCGCAAACGAAAAGACTAGAAAGCTTAAAGATATTCAAGAGAACAACACTGAAGATGCTGAGCTGGCCGTGCCAGTAGTGAATATCAAGGCAGAGCCCATCGAACTGTGCGAGGTTGTCAACGTCAAAGAAGAGCCTGTGGAATACGATGATGAAACTGCTCCGAATATTCGGGATCCTTTGGAAAACTCAGTAGAAGATATCCTTGGCATTGAAGACGAAGATTATATGATTGAAAACTTCGTAGAATATGACGAGGAAATGTCAGAATCGATGGAAATTGACGAGGGAGCTATTTCCGATGATAGTGAGTCTCCGACGGTCAAAGAAGGCAGCTTGATACCCGCAGTGAGACCGAGTACACGAGGCAAGCCTATAGACGCCACGGACAACAAAGGATATGCATGCTCGATGTGTGACAAGAAGTACTTCGAGGAGTCAAAGCTGGAAGATCATTTGAAAGTAGCCCATAAGACTCCCAGGCCCTACTCTTGTCCTATCTGCAACAAACGCTTCAATCACAAGAATTACGTGAATCTGCACATGCGAGTGCATACCGGGGAGAAACCGTACAAATGCAACCTTTGCTCACGGTCGTACTCGCACAAGACGAGCTACGTGATACATATGCGTATCCACAAGGGGGACCGTCCTTACTCATGCAGCGAGTGTGGCAAGAAATGTTATGACAAGTCTGGTCTCACGAGCCACATGAGATCGCACACCAAAGAAACCCCGTACCAGTGCGAATGTTGTGGTAGGAAATTCACACACTCGAAGAGTTTGTTGGTCCACAGACGGAACCACACGGGAGAAAAACCGTACGTGTGCCCGCACTGCGGCAGGGCTTTCAGGCATTGGCATAAACATAAAATTCACATACGTCTGCACACGGGAGAACGACCGTATAAATGTACAGTATGCAACAAAGGGTTTCCTAGGAACGATGAGGTGAAGCGACATATGCGCAGTCATACGGGAATAAAATCTTTCAGGTGCTCGATATGCGGCGTGTACTGCGCCACGCAGGCCAGCATCACAGGACACATTAACCTGCATCACGTCAACCTCACGACCGACAGCAAATACTTGCCAGACAAAACCATCGTCGAGAACAGCCAGTCGGGCATTCTAGGCAAGAAGGCCATGCCAGGCAGAGGCCTACATCGCGTGTTCGACAACACGAGCTATGATGAATATACAACCTCCATCCCTGAGAAGCCTGCACTGCCTGGTCCAGTGCCACAAACCATCGTGTCATCGAAGCCGATGACGCCGCAAGAAAAAGTCAACAACAAGAGTATGACGTATCGCCAGTTTCTGAACGACCAAGAGCAAGAACTGCTGGCCAAAGGTCTCAAGGTTGTCAGTAAAAATGATAACACTTACGGCCTGGCCCCTGTCTCGCCCAAGTCTTCTGGGAGTTTAGATTCTGCGGCTGTCAAGGTGAAGTCCGAGCCTGGAGAAGAGAAAAAAGAAGGCATTATAGATAACGTATTTGTCAAAGTTCCACATTCCAGGAAATCTTCGTTTAATTCACCTAAACCAGCCACCAGAATCATCCTCCCTAACGGTCCTAATGGCAATCAGCCTTTGGTGTTGGGGGAAGTTGCATCGAAACTTTTCCTTAAGTCAACCCAGGCTTCCCCTCACAAAATCCAGCCTAACTCCAAGCCAAAGACTTCCCTACTGGAAGAAAACGTGTCCCCTACGCCAACGTCGCCTGCGAAGTCAAGGCAAGACCCGACAGTGAAGAGCAGCGCCCCCACGACGACCAGCACGAGTGGTAGTATTTTACAAGCCGCACTAACCGCAGGCAAGCCAACCACTCCCGTAACCGAGAGCATCATAGTGCTTAACAAGGGCATGAGTGGCGGGGGCAGTTCGGAGGGCGTCGCCACCAACGCCCCGATGGTCGTGTTAACGCAACCACAACAGCTCCTGCTGCTGCCAGGCATCAACGGGGGACCAGCAAGACTGGTATTCTTGCAGTCTAGTCCCGCTGCCATGATTCGGTCCCACCCAAACATCAATGGCGTCACCGGGTCTGATAATATCACCATTAAACAGGAGAAAGATGCTGCTCCTGTTGTACATATAGAAGAAAGTTCCGCGCCTCTGTTTATGTTTGCTAGCCCTCCTAATGTCATCCAAGAATCTCCTGTTATAAAACTCGAGCCGCCAGACTTCGACACTCAAAACATAAAATTAGAAAAAGACGACGAAGAAGCCTCGGAAACGTCTGAAGTTGTCCCTCCTCTCCAGACGTTTATTAAACCTGAACCCGAGGATTAATAATTAGTTCCACATAGCTGTATTATATCAAGTTTCGTGAGCAGCATACGCAACTTTTTGCAATGCTTGCAACGAGCTAATGATAACTTTGTGGGGAGTAAAGTCTTCGTGAGAGTGTCGTCACGAAGACATCTTGTGTGCAATGATTCTCACTATTGCACTATAGCATTCTCAATGGTATTTATTATTAAAATGTTAGGTTATTTAATTAAGGGCATGGAAAATAACTTCCTACATCGTGATCCGTCTTAATCTGCCCACTATGGGCATATGAGATTATGGTCCCGTGCAGCGCCTATGATGTAGCGAATGCTTTCTTGCTAGTGAAGCTCCATCGACTAGCTAGTTAACGGTGCAGGGCGTTGCAGGGTTTACGACGCTTTGCTCACATCGGAAATGAGTTTAGTTTCTTTAAATGACGATTCTGACATTCCTCAGGTTGTGAATTCCATATACAGGCCATATCGAATAGGCCTTGCAACATCTATTATAATTAAATCGTCTCTTTGTTCTAATTTTCTGTTGCGTCGTTCTGTAAAATCTCATGTACTAAAAATATTTTTTCTAATTTTCTGTTGCATCGTTCTGTAAAATCTCATGTACTGAAAATATTTTTACTGGATGACAGACATTTTAAGATGATAATTTAGTCTAATCGCTTTGCCCTGATGGAATCGGCGAGCCTTCTGCTGCTCAGACACTAGGCAAGCTCCTGCCTCAGAGATATGTTCCAGATGTATCTTTGCTGTACATTAATCCAGCTCAGCCATGACTCGGTATTTATTGATACCATTAATTGTACGACTTATTATTTACGTAAATTTTTTTGACAAATGAAGAAAATAGGAGGAAGGCGTTTATGTCTGGTTATTTGAACGACTCTAGTCACTCGCCATAATATTGCTAATTTTCTGGTAAGGATAACATTTTGTACTCTAGCTTTACGGACGCATGATGTACGTGGTCGCGTGTGCCACACTTAGCGAATTCAAGTGCAATTTTCAATGAATTACGTTCATTACTAACAGCCGTACTTACATTGTGAAATGAATTCATTCATTTTGCAGTCAACTTTATTTGTATGTAGAATACATTTAAGGAACATTGCAACCAGTAATGGTAGTTTTTACTAATCCGGTTAACTTATTTAGCACTTTAATCAACATTACAAAAGCTGAGATGTACATTTTTCAGAATTTTACATTCCATTGTCATTTAGCTTTCCATGTGTGAATTATGCACCTCGAACTCGTCTTATATTCAATACGAAAGCGTAATAGTTTTGATAATTCCTGACACTGCAGCATTCCAACCTTGCGGGCAACTTGTTCACACTTGCTGTCAAGTGATACAATGTTAGTTATTTATTATGCAATGTTATCTTGACTACAATGTTGAATATTATTTTTTATTTATTGTGCAAGGAAGTTCATTCATTTTCAAGATGTGCAAATCGCGTTCATGTTCAAATTTTATTCCAAGTATTGACCATGATATGTTTTACTGACATGAATATTGAAATAATCATGACTTTAATTTTACAATCAACGGAGATTGGGTAATTTGTAGCACATTTACGATTTTTGACTGAGTGGCTCGAGAGAAAGGTTTCATCTCTCCAGCTATTTCTGTTTGCATTTTGACAAGAAAAACTGTTCTTTAAAATAATGATTAGGTTTTCCTTTATTGGACGTACTAAACCGCGATATTTGTGCGACTCTTTCCTGGATGTTATGCAATTTCATGCATCATTTTTTGATCATTCACCACCTTGCTGGCATGAGACATATTATCATCTTTTTTACACTCGCCTCCCAAAATTAACTCAATAACAACGTGATTGTAAACTAATCATTACTAATGATGAACTGAATTCACTACTAATTATAATATCCCGCTCCTGTTTGCATGCTAGGGTATCGCATTTGAATGTGGTTGAGAATCTAACCCTGTCTCCGAGGCCGCACTAAACAGCCAATAATAATATAGATAATTACATTACATTTATTATTTATGTGTGACTTGATGTGATCCTGTGTACTTAAACTAACACTGGCATTAATTTGTATTTATTTCTCAAGTTCTAGTCATTAAATCATGAAATAAGTTAGTATAGATCACTTCGATGCAATGCAAATATCGCTGCTACTTTTTCCAAAAAGTATGATAAGTATTTTGGCAGTTAAATAGCATAGAGTAGAATTTGCCCTTTTATTTGAGTTCTTTGTTTTCTAGTAAGAAATTTTTATTTTATGTTCCTTCTAGAAATTCATAGGAATTTTCTCATTACTTCTTTTCAGAGAACGAAGCCTCATCGTGGCCTTGGCAATAGAGAAGCAATTCATTTACTGGATATCTTATCATCTTATGCTTTGTAAGAAATCATTTTTGACGATTTTGTTCAGCTTTACAGACGGTTCAGCAACTGTATTCTCTAAAAATAACTTTATATATGTTCTACAGCGACGTTGCTGTCAGTTTCATATTCGTTGGCATTGCTATAACTGAGCTCATGTTCAACTGAATACACGAATTGACGTGAATCAGTCTTAAGTTCTGAGAAGCTTATGAGCAACAGTCAAGCAAGACACACTGACAGATTTTTAAACATATGTATTTTTCATTTGAAGAGGCCAGTTGGAATTATCAGATTACAACCTTCCAGGAACAATATAACATTCCAGAGACAATAGTCGTGCAGCTATCTTGACTGTCGCAGCTATGAAAATTTTATTTACGACGGAATGCAAGGATATGTAATTTACTAGTCACTGTTTTGCTCAATTGTTTTCTTATACATTGTGTTTCTTTCAGTTTTTGTTGAAATGTTTTATTTTCGTTGAGTAATAAATCTAAATAAAACTACATGTATTTTTATGCTCCCATCTTGCATTTTTAAACTTTAACGTAACTACACGGCAATAAACTAATCAAAAATTATAAAATACGCCGGTCCACGAAATAAAAGCAAAGTGAAAATCAAGTATTTGAATACCTAGCCGATGAAATTATTCCTACATAAGAGAATCTTAAGAACAATCATTATACTATTTAGGAATCGATATGATAAGTACCGGTACTAACTAGTGCCCTTTTACTACTCATACTGCCAATTCAGAACTACGATTTTCAGGCAATTTAAAATTCTACGAACTAGAACTACGAAATTTTCAAGAAATTTAATGGAATATTTAAGGAACCACACAGCAACTTGACTGCATCGCAATATGCGTTCACGTCTAACCCTTTGATGGTGTATAGCTCTCATTACGTCATTTAGTAGGAATATAACAAACGGAACTCAATTAATCCATGGAAAAAGCGTATATGATTACTATTATTTCGGATGAGATAATATTATGAGATTGCATAGCAGCACAACAGTTTTCAGACCCCGAGGAAAAAAATCGTACGACGATCTACTGCCTGCTGATAAGTTCAGGGCTAAGATTATTTCTGTAAATAACTTCAAAATATTTCTTATAATCATTACAATATTTCTCGAGCTGAAACTCAAATAAGAATTCATAGTTTACTACGTATCACCTACTCCAAGTAGTTAGCTTAATGACTTCATTCAAGGAGCAACTAAAAGTTGTATGGAAATAACTGACGGAGACAAATAAAACTTAAGATTTGATTGGGTACTAAGATTTACTACCAGAAACTTCAAGTTTGTACATAATAATCCTACCAAAGAAATCTGTAGAAGACGGAAAGAAGAGCCGCAGCCTGCTAGTCAGGACACCTGCAGGCAACAGCAGCTGTTGTTCACTGCCAGAGTCTTCAAGATACCAGGGGCAGAGCTCAGCCCACTTCTCAGTGTCGTCATTCCACACCTGAATTGCAGTATCACGGCCACCACAGAAGCCTCCCTGCAACAATAAGAATTCCCTCTATAAAACAGAAAGCTATTGAAGAATAGATAGACTATGTATATATAACAGGAAGCTGATCCTTTTCCCATCCATTTTTTAGTTAGGTAGTTTTGGGCCATGGAAATGTATTAAATGCTCTAAAACTATATTGATGCCTCAGAATAATTTTACATAGATGCAATATAAATAAACCAAGAACAAAAGCTTCTGAATTTAGTCATGGCTCCATGCCACTCTTATCAGGCATTATTTTCCCAAAATCAAAAGTCCTAATGATAATTTTATAGCTTACCTTTGAAAATTGAAGGCAAAAATGTGCCATTTTATCTAATTTGCACAGAATAAATTAGGTGAGAGTGAAAAACAGGGTTTGGTTCATGAACAGATATAATGCAGATAATTAAACTAACCTGAAATGTAGCCAAGATGCTTATTGGAATAACTTTTTCTGTCCACTTGAAAGCAACCCACTGGGGAGAACCTTGATCACTATTCCAGCAAGTGGAAGGGTTATTGTCAAACATGAACTGTTTACCAACTTCTTTCACATTACGTTGAAGAACAGAACTAACTCGACATTCACTGCTAGGAATGAGAGAAGTCATCATGGATATCGAAAGCAAGCTACCTGGCACCTGCTTAGAATCTATAAAATAGAAATGCAATCTTAGCAACTATAGTTATGTACAGAGGTGGGCAGTAGCGCGCTACATGTAGCGGCTGCTACATTTTCAGTAGCGGTACTAGCGGCGCTGCATTTAAGCAATTGTAGCAGTAGCGGTAGCACCCACTACATATTTAAGTAGCGATATGAGGTTTTGCCGCTACAGTGCTACCACTACATTTATAGATAAAGCTTTTAGATTTTACTTAATAGTATTAAATATTATTTAAAAACCAGCATGATACCTACATAATATAAATTACAGAATAAAACTGTACAAAAGATTTCAGTGTAATGTTGTCAACCTCAGCCTGTTACTAGTGCCAACATGTTAGTTTTTACTTTCTAAGTTGTTACCAGTTACCACTTACAGGTATTTTTCCACGTTTCAGTTTGCTTATAGTTATTTTTATATTTCACCTTCCCTACATGGATGCCTACTTTAATCTACCAATCTCAAAAATAATCCACATATATATACAAATAAAAGACTGATTTTTTATATGTATATGTGGATAATTTTTGAGATTAGTAGATTAAAGTAGACATCCATGTAGGGAAGGTATAACATAAAAATAACTGTAACTTTTATTTACTGTATCTAACCCATACTAGTTTGGTTAGGTTAATTGCAATAAAGTTGCATTGATAGGTTATGAAAATGTTTTATTGTTATTAAATGTTTATGAGTAAATCCCAATAGCAGAACAATAAATATTTAGAGATTTTCAATAATTTTGGCCATTGTAGCGGCTAATGTAGCAGCGCTACATTTTACTGTAGCGGTAGCGCTCGCTACTATCTAGTGGGTGTAGCGGTAGCAGTAGCACCTGCTACATTTAGAGCATGTAGTGGTAGTGCCGCTACATTTAGAGCATGTAGCGGTAGGGCCGCTACATTTCAAAGTAGCACTGCCCAGCTCTGTTTATATATTAATAAGAACTAATTAAAGACATAAAAGATTATTAATTACAATTAACATTGGTCATCAATCTCTACTATCCTCAGCTGACAGTTGTCTTTTTTTTCTGTCAATGTTTATTGGGGACCTCTGACAACTTGTCAACTTGTCCAATGCAGACCCATGACAGTGTACACTGTACAGTTTAGTTTTCCTCAATTAATGCTTTATGGGGGAACCAAAGGCCCATCCTTATAGGTCCCCTCAGGTGGAAGCCCAAAGTAGTTACTAAAGGTGATGTCCAGCCTAGCCCTAGTCAGCACAACTACTGAACTATAACTACTGAGTACTGACAGTACTGACATCTTCTTCTTATTTATTCTTATAATTGGTCCATAAATTCTTCATACTTCATATAGTTGACGCCTAACTTCCTCTTATAATTGGTATTCTAACAGTTAATAAAATAATTGTTATTTTTTTCTTAAATTGTTGGTGTCTAATACTAGGAATAGATTAATAGTCACATAACAATCTGAAAATCTGCAATGCACAGACAAAAAAGGCCAATACAACAAACACCAATACAGCAACTGAGCAAGAAGAATAATGAAACAACAAAAAGAATAAAAACAAGTGAATTAAGAAACAAAGATTGCAGAAAATAAATAAAATAAAAGAATATGATGTGTAAAAACTGGCCACATATTTAAGTAGAAAATATGCAAGGCAATGATAGTTATTACTCACTTATTAGTTTAGTAACATAGGCATTAGGTGGATTTAGGCCATTGGCATTAGGCTTTAGCATTAGCATTCAGCAATAGGCCCAATAACAGAACATAACATAGTGATGTCAGAACTAAAGAGTAGACCTGGTGTGGTGTGTTGTGGGTGTGGCCTGTAGCCAAATCTTGAACTTTTTACAACTTTTTCATATAACATCTAAAATCTTGTCATTTGAGTGATTTGACCAGATATTTTCAATAGCAGGAAAGGAAAGCAGGTACAAAATTGAGGTTTGGCATTAGAGGTCAAAAAATAATTTAGGTCATAGCCACCCGTCAACACATTGACAGTCTCTTATTAGACTTATTTAATTCAAATCCAGTTAGTTGCAACTTGCAGTATCCATGCCCTAAACTGTGCCTCACATAAGTTTGTATAAGTTACTGAAGGGCGAAAGTCCAAGAGTCCAGCCTCACAGCTTGAGCTTGGGCAGCCCGCAGCAGTGCACTGGTCACTGGCTCACTGCCAGTCTGCCACAGTGCCACTCACTGGTGCAGTACTGCAGCAAAGCAAAGCCTGGAGTTTCCTAATACCAAGTTGGTAAAGCAAGTAGTGGCTCTAAGTAGCTGCTTTGCAGTGTACAGAAAATAAAAGAGAACTCTTGGGGCATTACTCTGAAGGAGCGAGAATTAGAAACTAAATTGAAGGCAAGCAGTAAACGACAGACCGACAGTCATCAACCGGTAAACAAACCCATCAGCTGAGCAGACTGTGCGAAAACAAGTTCTTATTCCGTACCATCGGATGTACTTGAAGAAATGTTTTACTTAGCATTCTTATAAATGAGAAATAAACTGCTTTAAATAATACTTTTCAATGATTTCATACGTCTTTCTGCTATTTTGTAGCAGTATTTTAATTTTTTATTGGTTGTCATGATTTAAATTCATTAGTATAAATTTAACATTTGTTTCTTAAATTTCCTCGGAACTTAGGTACTATCTTCTAATACGTTCTAAATTATCAACTGGGCTAATTTCAACCTAAAATTCTAAATTGTTAGAAAGACTAACGTAACAACTGGCGCGTTTGTTAATTTTACTTACTGTTAATCTGGCATTTCAAGCTCATTGAATTTCGAGACCTATCCGCGAGTACGGCCGTAAATTTGTCGGAGGTATGTTTCAGAAACGGTTAACACACGGCGTTTCCGAACTCTGTGTTCGATTCGGGTGCACGACAGCGACAAGCAGCTTCAGCGCTTCTTTAAATAGGAACTCATATGAGCGTCTGATCAGCCCAAGAAGTTAATTGAATTTATTAACTTGGGTTTCAGTATGCCTAGAATTTTTTGCTCGTGTCGACAATAACACCCAAATCTTTTACCGCGCTAGACTTTTCAACAATTACTCTCTCGTTGCAACCACTTCTTCTCATACTGTAATCTTGCTGTTAATTATTCTTCCAGAGGTAAAATACTTTACATTTGTCAGCATTAAAACGCAGCAGCCACGTGGCTGTGGCAGACCAGTCAACTAAACTGTCAAGATCATCTTGCAATTTCACTTTATTTGACACATCCTTAACATTGTTAAAAACTTTTGTCATCGGCAGGCATGGAGCACATGCTTGACACTACTTTCGGCAGATCGTTTATAATATCAACTAACAAAAAAGGCCCAATAACTCTTCCTTGTGGCATGCCACTGCGCACTGATGCCCAGTCCGAAACGGTTCCGTTAATACTGACACGTTGTCGTCTGCCTACTAGGAAATCTCTGATCCATTGGAGTACATTTCCCTCGATTTCCCAAAGACTTCACTTTACGCAACAGCCGCTCATGCAGAACACTGTCAAATGCTTTGGAAAAATCGAGGTACACTGCATCCACTGGCGAGTCCAATCGTTCAACTAAGACAAGAGGTTAGTTGTGCTCAGGATCTACCGGCAAATATAAGCCATGTTGACCGTCTGATGGGAGATGTGAATTCTGAACAATGGTGTCACTTGACCTTCTTTCCAATCGGCCAGCAAAGTCCGTCCCTCTGTTCAAGATTTTTCGAAAGAATACCGTCAAAGGGCCAGCCAGGACGGTTGCTATATAATTCTTTAAGCAATCTGGTGTGGAGGCCGTCTGGTTCACATGTACATGTTGGGATTCAGAGCGACCAGGCGCTTGAGAACCTCTTCTTCGTGTATTTCAAAACCTGTTAACTTCTACCCTACAGGGCGCTCCTCAATAGCTAGAATACAGTTCGAGTCCTTAACTGTGAAGACGCTGCTAGAGAACGGATTTAGAACGTAGCCTTGCCCTCATCACAGGATATCTTTCGCTTATCTACTGTAAAATCAGAAATACCGTTGTTTGTTCGAACTATCTTATAAGAAGAAGCTTTCGGTTTCTTTTTTGCATTTTTGGCAATTTTTTAAGTCTTTTACTGTGGTGTGACATATTTTTTAGCAGGATTTCGAGTTCGTGCATAGAGGTTATAATCAGCATTGCTCCGATTCCGTAAATAACGCTCTTAGCATCTTTCTTTGTCTTTAGCTGAACTAGCACTCGTCTTTTTCTGTATAGCACTCGATACAATGATTAGTGGTGCCTTTTGCTCAACGGAGCATCATGTCGAAGCTCATATCTATCATTGATACTTCACTAGTAAACACTAGGTCTAGAATATTTGAAGACGCCTATGAGGAGGCTATACTTGCCTGCTAGAGATAATTCGTACCACACTGATTCTCTAGCTGATTGATGCTCTGCAGATAACTTAACTTGCTGGGCCCCTATACTACTATATCTATACTATGGTGGCCCAGTGGTTACAGCTTTGAGTAACCGGATTGGCGCAGAGAGGCGCGGGTTCGATCCCAGCTCTGTGCGCCAGTTTCTGGTCAGAATCGGCGAGGAGGCCGGGCGGTTAAGGTGCCTGTACACAGGGATAGTACTAGCCGCTAGTTCATCCGGCGCTTGAACTGTCCACGCTACTAGCCTTGTGTAAAGGGGTTCAGCCGTTTCAGAGGCATGCGCCGGCAAGTGCCCGAGGCGCGGCCGAGAGAGACAACGATGTGTTGATATCTTGGCTGGAGAAGTGGCTAGTAGCGCTGATGCAGCCATGGTGAGAGCATCTGTGCCGCTCCTGTGAAGTATCTTGGGTCAAGTGAATCATGGCTTGTTTGAATGATAATGTTTCTAAGAGGAATCCAATAAAATGGATTCCAGACGATATTCAATTATTCTTTGAAATATGAATTAAAGTGGAATGTTTGCCATGACGGTTACTCCAACAAAATGAAGAGAGGAACGAGTATTTTGAAACTGGAAGAAGACCTTATTAGTTAGGGTTTAGTTG